CAGGGAGCCCAATGCGGGGCTCGATCCCAGGACCCCAGGATCATGGCCTGAGCCGAAGGCAAGACGCCCAACCGACTGAGCCACCCAGGCGCCCCCAAATTGCATTTCTATTGCTTGTCATTAAAAGCATTCTGGGGTACCTGGGTGGCTCAGTCGGTCAAGCGTCCGACTCTTGGTTTCGGCCCAGGTCGTGATCTCGGAGTCCTGGAATCAAGCCCCGCATTGGACTCCACGCTCAGTGGGGAGCCCGCTTGAGGATTCTCTCGCCCTCTTCCTCTGCCCCTCCCCTCCTCTAAAATACATAAATAAATCTTAAAAAAAAAAAGTCTTCTGATACTCTATTCAGCCTAAAAAAACAGCCACAACCCTAATGTGCTGACACGCAAGGCGGGGGGGTGGGGGGGGGGGGCTGTTCGTTCTGGTGTTAAGGTGTCAGTTTTCCTGGAATAAATCCAAGCTCTGCCTCTTCCTAACTCCATGACAAGCACAAGCTACTTGACCTCTGTATGTCAGTTTCAAACCTGTAAAAGGAAAGATTAACAGCACCTGCATCGTGTAGGGTGCGAAAGAAAGAAGTTAAACCAGGTAGAGCCCAGTCCCTGGTACGTAGAAATCACTCAGTAAAGTTGGGTGTTATTCACAGCAGGAGATGGCGGGAGTGTCTGGGAGAAATTTAAATGTCTGGGTGGCTCAGTGTTAAGCGTCTGCCTTCAGCTCAGGTCATGATCCCAGGGTCCTGGGATCGAGCCCCGCATCTGGCTCCCTGCTCCGCGGGAAGCCTGCTTCTCCCTCTCCCACTCCCCCTGCTTGTGTTCCCTCTCTCGCTGTGTCTCTGTCTGTCAAATAAATAAATAAAATCTTAAAAAAAAAAAATCAAAGAAGCAAACCAAGGGAGATAACTCCCCACAAACACACTCTCCAGCCAGGGCTCATACTCCCAGCTTGCTAGATGTGCCATGCCGAACCCTCCAGCCACCGTTCCAGTACTTGGCTGCCAAAATAGAGGAGGGATAACAAGGTATTCCTCTAGGGAAATAGAGCTTTGCTATAAACCTTGTGTTGGCGTACAAGGCTAATACCTCCCTCAAACATTGTCGTCGTTAAAATACGAAATCTCATTTTTACTTTATATTCCTTAAATAATGCACATTCAGATCTCCCTTCCTGAAAAGTGAGCTCTGTGATCAGGATCCAAGCCTGGGCCATCTGTCTTCCACACAGGGCTCACCCCTGTGCCAGACACACACTAGGACCCAACTGTTTACACTTGCTGATTGAAAGATAAAGGGAATCAGAAAGACCTAAAGGGGAAGGACCAGAGTAAACAGGACAGTTGTCTGAAAGTTGGACTTGGGAGTCCACCGAATTGGAGCAGCACTATAGGATCTCACAGATGAGGTATGTAGGCATTAATGGTTAAGGTGAAAGTCTGGGAAGTTTTAACAGTGGAAATGCTGTTATGTTAAATCTGGTTATACTTTGTTTCAGTGATACTAAACTTCGCACAAAGAAAGTTCTTTGTTGAGTGATGCTTCTTCCATTCTTCTGTGAGCAAACTTGCACTTGCTTAACACACTATTACAAGAATCTTGGGATATCTTATTTACACCTTACATCCATTAGAGCCAGTCAGAATCCATTTTATAGATGTTGCTTTCCAGCAAAGCATGCTGAATCCTTTAAACACTCATTACTAACCAGAGCAAAACCAAAAACTTTTCTCTTAAGCCTCATTATCTGTCTCCAGAATATTCAGACAACCTTATTTCCTCCTCCTTCCTATTACTCATCCCCATCCAGCCGTTCCTGTCAAGGTCCTCAGGAGTACACCTGAGACCTCCACATCAGACATTGCTCTTCACCAGGATGCCTTCCCTTTTGTCTAATTTAGGAATTAACTACATATCATTTCAAATTATTCTGTTTTACGTATTCTAGTCGATCCAAACTGTAGCATCAGCTGGAAGAGACCTGATGGTGGAGTACAGTGGTTAAGGGCTGCTGGAGTCAGGAGCCTGTGTGTGAACCCAGGTCTTGCCACCGACTGGCTAGGTGTCCTCAAACAAGTTATTTAGCCTCTCCAGGCTTCAGGTTCCTTGTCTGTAAATAAGGATGAAGATGGTAACAGTAGCTAACAATAACCTTACCAAGTAGGGTTGTTAGGAGGATTAAAAGAATTACAGTGTGTGAGGTAGTCAGTCAGAAGAGTTCATGGGCTAGAACACTGTGGAAGCTTTTGTACTTATTAGTTATCTTCCACAGAGCTCAGCACCCAGATGAATAAATGGTTTTATAAGTACATGTTCTTTTTTTAAAAAATATTTTATTTATTTGGCAGAGAGAGACACAGTGAGAGAGGGAACACAAGCAGGGGGAGTGGGAGAGGGAGAGGGAGAAACAGGCTTCCCGCAGAGCCGGGAGCCTGATGTGGGGCTCTATCCCAGGACCCTGGGATCATGACCCGAGCCGAAGGCAGACACTTAATAACTGAGCCACCCAGGCGCCCCAGTTGACGTGTTCATTTTTATAACTTTTTCTTGCACATGTAGTACAAGTGTAATGGGTAGTAATTAGAAAACATATAAGATACAGAAAAAACATAATAAAATATAAACATGAGTCAGCTATCCTCAAATTAAAACAAAAACAAAAACACATCAGCAATGCCACTGCCCAGAGTTAATACTATCAGTGTTTTCATATATTCCATTCATTGATTAAACAGCATTTACTGGGGCACTTGGGTGGCTCAGTCGGTTGAGCGTCGAACTCGGTTTCGGCTCAGGTCATGATCTCAGGGTCCTGGGATCAAGCCCCGTGTCGGGCTCTGCGCTCAGTGCAGAGTCTGCCTCAGATTCTCTCTCCCTCTCCCTCTCATTCAGTCTCTCAAATAAATAAATAAATAAATAAATAAATAAATAAATAAAATCTTAAAAAAAGTAAACAGCATTTCCTGAGCACCTAATATATAACAAGCTTCATGCTCTCACTGGCTATGATGTTGAGCAAAAAGAGACACAGCTCCTGCCTCACAGAGTTTACCATCTGGTGTGGGGAGACACACCTTCATCAAGTAATGATACAAGTATGCGAAGCCGCAACTGTGATTATTGCTATAAAGGAGAGGTACGTGTGTAGGAGGGAGACCTGACCTAGTTGTGAAGGTCTTTTATTGAAGATTGTGAGGCAGTGGTTACTGAGTTGAGAATTAATGCATAGGAATTCACTCGAAGTCAGAAGGGAAGAGTGTGCACAACAGAAGCACAATAAATCCAAACGTCCTCCTGTGGGAGGGCGTATGGTGGGTGGAAGGGAGTAAAAGGGTCCGAGGTGGCTGCAGATAAAGATACTAGATAAAGCTGGTGGCTTAGGGAGAGGGCACACTTAGCAGAGCTTAGTACCCTTAGTTTAGAAATTATATTCTCTATTCATTTGACAAATTTTGCCTATGAGGATCCAAGGATGCACTTCTTTTACATAAATTAGATTTACACCATACACTGTTTTTATTAGGAACATTTTTTTGAACAATAAGTATACTGTAATTTAATCTACCTCTTGTTGTTGAAAATACAGTTTCCAATTTTCCGCTATTATGAACAATGCTGTGACAGACGTTTTTGTATATGGACATTTGTCCAAATGTTTAACACAAATTTCTGCAAGTGGAATCGCTGATTCTGCAAATTTGTTAGTATGTTTTAGTCATAATCTTGTCTAGAAAATCAGCACATTCAACTGTCAAGATTTGATGCTATGTGACACTATGGTCTTTTGAGGTGGATACCACTGTTATACTTGGGGGCGTTTTTGGTGACATTCGGAAAACTGCTCTCTCATTTTCTTCAGTGTGTGAGAAAGTTCCTCCTATTTCTGATTCTTCCTAGTCTTCCCCTCAAATTCGGATCACTCAGTACTGACTGCCAATGAAGTGTCTCTAACTACAGCTCTAGAAGCCTGGCTGACCTACTCACTGGCTCCACAGGAGAGGAAAGGCTTTTTTATCTGTCTCTGAAGGAGCTTCCACTGGACTCGAGCCACACTGGAAGAGAAGCCAGGCTCTGATACTCCCTTCATCTCCTCTGGCCTCCTGCTTCGCCCAGTTCCATCTTCATGCGTAAATTCACTAACTTCTTAAAGGTAAATGGAGCTCAGAGGATTCTATTACAGACCATTTCCATTCTACTGAGTTGACAAATGCCATCTTCTCAAGAGTCTGTCTTCCATGGACCACCTTCAATATCTACTGGCAAACTGTCCTTTCCCTCTTTCAAAGTCCTGCTCATGTCCCCACCCTTAGATTACCTCCTAAGAACCCATTTACTGTTAGGTAATAATTTCTAGGCTTCTAATTATTAACATAGCCAATCTATTCACATTTTTCTTTAACTGTTCTCTGCATTCCATCTCTTCATTGTAAAAAACCTGTTCCCAAGGGCAATGGGACCCTCTTGCCAAAGTATAAAGCAGCCAGACATTTGGATAGGAGCACACCGGGGGTCTAGGTGAAGTGAGGCTTGGCAATGCACCAGGCATAGCGCTCACTGCATTACATAGGTCATTCCTTCTAATGCTCATGGCAACCCTAAGAGGGTATCATTAGGGTCCCCGTTTTACAGATTAGGAAATTGAGGCTCTGCAAGATTGCCACTCACCTAGGGTCATTCAGTTACTGTGTGGGGAGTGGCCCCCACTTCTGCTTGTAAAGTGAGGCGATAAAGAAAAGAAAGGCAGGCCAAAAAATATATAAATCGGGGGAAGGCAGCGAGGAAACGTAAATTGACAGGCGGCTCCTTCCCCGTCGTCCCCTTCTCGCGGACAGCCAGGGCTCCAGCGCAGCCCGCACGCCCCCCAGCGGCCGCCTCTCTACCCCCTGCGCTTCCGGCCTCGGGAGGGCGTCATTAGCCAGCGCCTTGCGCCGCCACCAGCCACGCGCGTGCGTGCGGCGTATGACGTCGGGTGAGGAGGCGGGTTTTCCGGTCCTGACCAAAACCCTTTCCGGCAGGAGCCGGAAGACCGTCCCGGACGGCATTGGGGGCGGCCTGTGCGTGGAAGTGAGGTCTGGGCCGCCGGCCTTCCGGCGTCCGCTGGTCGCCCATGCTGCGGCCCGCGGCCGCCAGCCCCCACTCGGATTGGCGGCGGTAAGGCGCCGGGGCAGCGCGCGAAATGTCGTCGGGCCTCCGTGCCGCCGACTTCCCCCGCTGGAAGCGCCACATTTCGGAGGAGCTGAGGCGGCGGGACCGGCTGCAGAGGCAGGCATTCGAAGAGATCATCCTGCAGTGTGAGCGGCGGGCGGGCCCGGGGAGCGGGCGGGCGGGCGGGCCCCGCTGCAGCACGCGGGGCGCCAGCAGGAGCCGGAGGCCGACCCTTGGCGTCGCCCGCGCGCCTTGCGGCGGCCCCACAAACCCTGCCTTTTTTTTTTTTTTTTTTTGGATCTTACTCTCTTTGACTTTAGAGGGCTTTCCCTACTGAATGGTGTGTTCTTCGTGGGCAGGCACCGTTCGTGCTTGTTACCCCAGCATCAGTGCTTGTGTGCTTGAATGAGCTCCAGAAACGTCCAGTTCTGGGCCTCGCGTTGTTGAAACGGTCACAGACCTTAAGCATTAACTCGCGTAATTAACATTGTTCTCTGAGTGTAATGAAATGTTCAGCTTTTGATTCCTCAGACGTCTCGTTTTTACTCCCATCTTGGTGTTCTTTAACTGGTACACATTTTGAGTCCCCCTGGTCGGTGGGGACATCGTTACTGGAAACTTCAATATGAAAGAGGTTTTCTCCTCTCCCTGTCTGCAGTTTGAATACAAAAATGTTCGTACCCTTAGATGAGGCCTCATGAGCATTTCCTTGCTCCCTCCCCAATTTTACGTAACTAACGAACGACACATTTGGGGAGAGAAATGGGCTTTCTTCGGTCCCATGGTACCATCTACCCCTTGAAGTGAGCCTGACAAAAGTCTGGAGTTCATGTTGATGATGAGATTCAAAGTAATAGTCGCCTGTTAATGAATTCTGATTGTGCTAAATCAGTGGTTCCCAAACTGATGTGCACGTTAGTACCACCTGGATCTTTTAAAAAAATTAAAAAGCCGGACCAATTAAATTGCAGTAAATAAGGGTGGGACACGGGTATGAGTGTGTTTGATGCTCTTCAAGTATTTCTTTTTTTTTTTTTAAGATTTTGTTCATTTATTTGACAGCATAAGTAGGCAGAGAGGCAGGCAGAGGCAGAGGGAGAGGGAGAAGCAGGCTCCCCGCTGAACAGGGAGCCCGATGCGGGGCTTGATCCCGGGACCCTGGGACCGTGACCTGAGCCGAAGGCAGCCGCTCAACGGACTGAGCCACCCAGGCGCCCCTCTCCAAGTATTTCTAATGTGCAGAGTGGTTTGAGTGCTTTGGTAAATATACGGCATGTGTTAGTTCTCTTTATCTTCTCGAAAATTCTATGAAGTGGGTCATTGCCCTTCTTACACATGAGGAAACTGATGCTGAGAGAGATTAAGAAACTTCTTTGGGTAGGCAAAGCAGATTCACGTTGGAGCCTGGATTTGAACACAGACTTGATGGCTCCTAACTTTTGCTTTTTTTTCTCACTGGGGTTCCGAAGAAATGACCCTTCCTTGCTTTCACTGAACCCACCCTCTTAAAAAGATGGAAGAAAAGCGAGATGATGTACCGCTCTTGTGCTTATTCCTTGTACTATAAGAGATCCTCACAGCCAGAAGCACAGAAAGCCCCTCCCACTCAAACGTGATTCCCACATGGGTTATATAAATTCAGGTGGTCAGGTGTTTATTGGATGCTTTGTCTTAAAAGCTAAAATACACTTAACAGTCACATTGGGCTGGAAGTCTGACTCCACACCTTACTGATCTTTTCACTTACCTTTCTGAGTCTGGTTTGCTGCATCTATAAAAGGGGCGAAGCTTGCCCTGCCTGCTTCGTAAAAACTGTGTATAAGTGCTTTGAAAGCCGTTTACGAAATAGTCTATAAACAGAAGTTGCTGTAATTGCATTGACAGAGATTGAATGGTTTTTCTGCATTGAAAATAGTCATTTTGATGGGAGGGGGGAGGATGTAGGAGAAAGGTCAGAAGATGATCATCCTGGAGAGGGAACACATCATGAAACAGCTGTGGTAAATAGCACATGCCAGAGGGGCTGGGAGCCCAGACTGATACGAGAGGCGGTTAGGGGGCTGGAAAGCAAGACAACCTTTGCCTGTTAGAGTTTTTCTCTTTAGGTCAGTGATTGACATTTGGGGGGTCACTTCCATTTTGCCTGTGGAACACCTTCACTTCTGTCCTCTTGCCTTCCCAGGCCAGTCAGGTTCAAGTTCAGCCCCTGCCTCTGAACCTAAAGAGAAAGGTGAAAAGAGACTGTGAGGACAGGTGGCAGCTTTCCCTTCAGCTGGATCCTTCTCTTTAGTGAGAGGGACTTTTAAGGAGGGTACCTCCTGTCCTTTGAAAGACCTAATATCACAGGGCGCCCAGCTCTGGTGTGACATTTTGAAGATCTTAATTAGAACCCTTTGATGTGAGTGAACACCCAGGGTTGGAACCATACTTCCCTGTTCTGCTGAACTGCTTGGTTAAATTAATCTAAATCAAGAATATTTCTGTTTCGGCCCAGGAGTTCCATTTCCATATATAAAAGAGAATTGAGACTCAAGACTCTTTAAGAAGAAAGATAAGCCCTTCCAACAGCAATATTCACTAGCATAAACCCTATCAAAATTTTGTTCTAGAGCAGTTCTGATCTCAGACTTTTAGGATGTGTGACAGTCCCCATCAAATGTAGCTATTCAACAAGTTTCCCATGATCAGTCTCTTATTTCGCTTAGTGCCCCCTCCCACCTTGCCTGTCCCTGTGTGACTGTCATTCCTAACTACTTGTACTTTGAACTCCACCATGTTTCCTGTCACATTTGTTACTTTCAGAAAGAAAATTCATTTTCTTCCTTAGGTTCTCCACTCTTTTGTGTTCTTTGACAATTAGCATCTAACAGCCAGTCACCTGAGCAAGGAACTTCAGAATAATCTTTGACTTTTTACTAGTAAATGTCTGTTTATGTCACTGCCTGCTTTTAAAATCGTTTATTTTACCATTGCCACTAAGAAAAGATCTGAATTTTCCATTCTGCTCTTTCATGTGTTGGTTCCAACTTTCATTCCTATCCACTTGCAAGATAACTGCTAGCCCTCCCGCCTGGACTCTGTCATCCTCACCTGTAAAACCGTCCAAGGATATGAGGAAAGAAAGATCACTCTCCTAGTTCTTTTTATACCTGACCCTCTGCTATACTTGAGCTCCTTGTTCATATTTGTGTCTCTGGTGCCCTGATCTAAAAATTACATTTTCCAAATGTAATAATAAGCTCTTTCACATTGCTTAGAGGTGCATAACATTTCATTTTTCCAGGGTGTTTTTTTGTTTGTTTTGTTTTGTTTTTTGACTCCTGAGATAAACATAGGTAAGTGGGGGACATTCTTGTAGGGATGTTTCCACAGGTTCCTTTGGCCGGCCCATTTGTGCTTAGGCCAAGAAACTTCAAAGGAGTGTATGTTTCTGGGTTTTGGACAGTTGCTACAATTGCTGTCAAAGTGCAGCACCTGGTACTTTGACACCTAATGAAAGTGAAACCTACCCAGCTGTCCCCTGTTGGTTTTTTTGGTCCAGATATTTATAGGATATTAAGTAGTAATAAGGTATATATTAGTTATAATAAATAATTTTTCTTCTTCTTTTCCTTTTTAATAGATAACAAGTTGCTAGAAAAGTCAGATCTTCATTCAGTGCTGGCCCATAAGCTGCAAGCTGAAAAGCATGACATCCCCAACAGGCATGAGATAAGGTATTTTGAAACTATCCTGTGTTGCTTGTGTCTCTTCAGTTGAAACGGTTCTCAGTTCAGCTGTCACTTCTCTAATTGAGAGGTACTGTGTCTGTGCTCCAGTTTTTGTCAGTTCCTTTCAGATAAGAACTTGTGAAGCGGGCACCTGGGTGGCTCAGTCGGTTAAGCAACTGCTTCGGCTCAGGTCATGATCCTGGAATCCCGGGATCGAGTCCCGCATCGGGCTCCCTGCTCAGCAGGGAACCTGCTTCTCCCTCTGACCCTCTTCCCTCTCATGTGCTCTCTCTCTCTTTCATTCTCTCTCAAATAAATAAATAAAAATCTTTAAAAAAAAAAAAAAAAAAGAACTTGTGAAGCCAAGTAACTAAAATCCTCTCTGAGGGTACGTACCCACCCAGAAGGCTTATCAGTAGGTGCTGTAACCCTGAGAAGTCACTCAGGGCGGGTAACTGGGCCAATTCCTCCTTCAGCCTGCTGGGTTTGCTTTTTCTAAATAATCACACCAGTAAGCATTCTTGAGCAGATTTATAGATCTTGTTAATACAGGATTGGCTGGCGCATAAAGTGCTTTTTATACAACACAGGTCTATTTGATCCTTTTTAAGTTCATTGGTTTTCATCATATTTTAATAGAGTGTGAAATTAAGCTAGCAGGTTGCAGCAAGCTTTCCTTTTTTTTTTTTTTTTAAAGAAAGATTAGGAAAAACCTGCATTTTAATAGAAAGGACAACTATTGTTTGATTAAATACGAACATATGTGTTCATGGTGGGGAGTTTGATGTGTTTACATGGGTCATTCATGTAAACTATTTTTTTTTCTTTTTTAAAGTTTTTTTCTTAGAGAGTACACATGAGCAGGGGGAGGGTCAGAGGGAGAGGGAGAAGCAAACTCCCCGCTGAGCAGGGAGCCCAACGCGGGTCTCGATCCCAGGACCCCGGGATCATGACCTGAGCTGAAGGCAGACACCTAACCGGCTGAGCCACCCAGGTACCCCGTAAGCTGTATTTCTTTTTGAGGATCATGGTCCAAAAAAATCCAAAAGTCAGACTTCATCACAAACAGTTTAAATAGAATCATTCTATAGTCTTACTGTCTCTTTCCAGATGTTTATCATGTTTGCATATTAAATTTGAGAGTCCATATGGGAACAGTACCCATTATTGCTCTAGAATTTATGTACTTTTTTGCATATCAGCTAACATTTAGCAACTGTAAGAATAAGTTGGTAGTAATTTAAGAGTTTTTTAAAGCCCAGAAATGCGAGGTATAGCCGAATTTATTTATACCTGTAGCTGAATCTGCTCTATAACTGCCTGCCATCCATGTTTCCTCATCTGGTCTCATGGCCGGCCAGAGGGGGAAAGAGAAACAGATGGTCCAGCCCAGGTTCTGTCCTTGCTTAGTAATAAATTCAAGCGATTGTTCTTGGCCTGTGGCCCTGAGAGAGCTCCTATAGTATTTAAAATATTAATTGCAGTGTTCTGGTCAATATTAGGTATAGAAAATGCCATTTTACCTTTTTCATCTAAATTCAATCAACTGAAAACTTGAAATAGTTTGTTTCTGCCTAGTTAGACTCTTGGTGACTATATTTCTCTATCCTTTCTTGGTCTGTCAAGCTCATTTGCTTGGAAGGTTGCTATAAATAAATATACAACAATTCTTTTGACTGAATATCACTGGAATGGTAATTTAATTGCAGGTCCTTCCTTTCCTGAGAACTCGAGCTCCTAATCAGGCCTCTCCTCCTGAGCGCCTTGTTTTTATTAATGGTTTTCTTTATTTTCCACAAGTTATCTATGATTCCTCTTTCCCCTCAGTGTCCTGGCCCTCCTCGTTGGTAGTCACTCAGACATGTTCATTCTTCATTCACACGCTCTTGTGGGTCTGTCCCTTAGTCCAGTGCGGGGAGACCAGCTCAAGGGGGTGTTTGATGGCGCCACAAGGGTATTTACAGAAGATGGGCCTGGTGGTTTCCTCCCTTCTGTCTCTCCTTAAGTTCTGTCCGTATTATCGTAGTTATTCTTAAAACACTACAACCCATGCTTAAAAAGCTTTATCTGGATCAATTATCTGAGTCCCTTTTGAAGTGTCTTAATCCCTTTGCTTTCTGCATAGATTATAGCACAGAAGTAGTTAATTCCAGGCATTTTCTATGTGTGCTTCCTAGATGGCAGCATCTGGCGAATTGTTAGAAATGCAGAATCTTGGGCCCCACACCAGACCTACTGTTTCAGAAAGTCGGGGGGGGGGGCGGTGGGTAGAGCCCATAATCTGTAATTGGGTGATCCTGAGAATCACTGCCTTAGACCATGGCTGCTCCGGAGTCCATCTGCAGCACCAGGCGTGCAGTGAGTGCCCTGCTCTTTGGAGAAGGGACTAGTTTTACATTTGCATATTTCACAGGGCTTTGCATTAACATAAGAGGATTTGATAAAAATAATTTCTAGTCCTCCTGCCTAATTTAGAATGGCTTCTTGTACAGTGTGTTCCACTTTCTAATCTCTTGGCTTCTACTTCGTGGGCAAAGATGGGGAAGTATTAGGTTGCCTCAAAGGATGAGGTATTAGGATGGGCTTAGAATATGTCTTAAAAATACCTTTAGACATCAAGGGTGACGTCAGGAGGGGGTGTCACACTACTCCCTCCCCTCTTGTTTATGATAGGGCTCTTCTCCCCCTCCCTTCGGGTGCTCGTGTCCTGCTTTTCCAGCATCTCCATCTTGTGCTTTCCCTGGGTGGTGGCTCAAATGTCTGTCATCTGATGGTTCTCCTCTGTAGCTGCAGCCAAAACCCCAGTCCTGAACTGAAAACGCACAGTTCGGTCACCTGCTGTTTCTGACGTGGGATGCAAAACAACATCGACTCTTGAGGGCGTCTGAGCTGAGTTCTGTGGCTTCAGATATGTCTGTTTGCTGACAACTTCTACTTGTCCGCCTCTGGCTTGGACCTCTGTACTTGACGTGCAGACTCCGGTACCCAGTTTCCACTCCACACACCCCCATGGGTGTCCACACTGCACTCTTCAGGCCTCCTCCCAGGCCCTAGTCTTTCCCATCTCAGTAGGTGGCACCTGCATCTTTCTCAGTTGCTCAGGCCCGGAACATTGAGGTCCTCATCGTGTCCTGCTTTTCTGTTAGACTCCACAGCTAACTCAGAAGGCAAATGCTGTGGGCTGTCTCTTCAGAACGGATCTAGGATCGGACCACACCTCCCCGCTTCTACTGCTACCACCTTGATCTGAGCTGGCCTTCGGAACAGCTCACTAACGGGCCTCCGTGTTTCTGCCCCTGCCCCCCGGCAGCCTGCTCTCCACTCAGCACCATGGCAGTCCTTTTACAACTTGTTATTCCTCTGCTCACAGCACTGCGGCGTCTTCCAGTCACGGTCCCTAGAGGAGCCTGGGAGGCTCTGCATGGTCTCCCCGCCTCCTCCCTGCCTGTCTTTTCCACCCTCCCGGACGCGGGGCTCTGCTTGTACTTTCTCCGAGGACACCAGCTGTGCTGCCTTCTCCAGGCCTTTCTGACCCTCGGCGTTCCCTCTGCGCGTGAGGGCCCAGCCTCCAGGAGCCGCGTGGCTTGCTCCTCACTTTCTTCCGGTCTGCGGTGATGTTCTCTCAGAGAAGCCTTCTCTGAGTGCCCTGCACAGAACAGGAGCCCTGTTGCTCCGTCCCCTTCTTTACCCTGCTTAGTTTCTCTTCACGGCACATCTGACCACTGGACCCCACGTGTTTACTTATTTGTTGTCTGTCTTCTCTTAACCATTTATCGGTCGCCTGAAAGCAAAGCTTTGTGTTCACTGCCTTCTCCCCGGGTCCAAGGTCACTGCCTGGCATGTAGTTGGCACTCAAACATTTGTCGAGTGACTGGACCTTGTTGTCTCCTCCATGTTTACCGAAACCTCATCTGGAATCCATGCCTTGTTCCTGACACGACCTGTGGTTTGGGTTGTGGTTGGTTTATTTGACCGTGTGTCTCACGTTTCCTACTTTCTACATCAGGTTTGTAGTGGCTTAGAACCACATTGGCCCGGAGAAAGTGAACGGCTTTTTTGGCTGTGTTGTCACGTACAGGTTCGAAATTCTGAGGTTACTGTTTCACTGCCGGACTGAAGAGGTTTGGGGTCTGATTTTTTTTTTCTTTCCTCTCTTTTTTGCACGTTCTGTCATCTGCCTGGTTTGGGGACCTAGTCCCGGACACGATGGTGCCTGGAATGATAGTCAGCTACAAGAGATGGCCCAGCTGAGGATTAAACACCAAGAAGAACTGACCGAACTACACAAGAAGCGTGGGGAGGTACCGATAGCCACTCCCCGTCTCTGCTCTGTGCGGGCCCCGCGGTGGGGAGGACAAGCGGGCGGGCGGGCGTTGCACTAGAATTTGCAGCCGTCCTGGCTGCATGTGGCATCGTACTCTCTCTGGGAATGCAGCATCGGGACAGCTGAGGGCTTTCCCTCTATCAGCAAGAGGGCAAGCCACTGGGGTAACTGCCGGTCACCACACTCCCAGGTGGCATGAAAGGTACAAGTGGAGAAACTTCCAAAGGAAAGAAGCCTGCTGCCTGTTCCAGGGCAGATCTCACTAATACCTTCCTAAAGTGTTTGAGAGCGAACCCTTCAATTTCTGAGAAATTCATTATGGAAAAAGTCCTGGGCTTTGTTAATCGTGGGTGGCTGTTTGATGGCAAATTATGAGAAAATGCAAGTTCTCATCAATGCAGCTGAATTGATCATTTTATCAGCCAAAGAGCGTGATAGGTGGCTGCAGTGGGAGGGGGACAGACGGGTCCTCAGCGGGAACCTGGCAGTGACCTGTGCTATTTCCCATTGTTCCCATGAGCATCCCCATCGACCCTCCTGCTCCTCACTGCCACCCAGCTTGTTTCTTCTTGGTGCCTTGGCCCAACCCAGCAGGGCACCTTTTCTTTCCTAAAAATAAAAGAGCCCACTGTTGTTTAGTTTCCTACTGAGGTCCTGAGATCTCTCACTGATGCAAGTGTTCTTCCCCCGCAGTTAGCTCAATTGGTGATTGACCTGAATAACCAAATGCAGCAGAAGGACAGGGAGATGCAGATGAATGAAGCAAAGTGAGTAGAGATGACACCCTCCCGGGGCTGGCCACGGGGTTGCACTCTGTTTACTGTACTCTTGTGGGCGGGGCCGGTGGTGATTGCTGGCAAACGGTCACCCCAGGGGACTCAGGAAGAACGTCATTTCTGTGCATGCATAACCTAGGATTTTTTTCTACCCGCTCTAAGGATGGCAGAGGCAAGGACAGTGCCCTCAATCTTCCAGGTTTCCAGTATGCCCCTGGGGGGTACCTTTGGCCCTTGTGAGTGTCCCTGAAGCATTCGTGGCTCTCCCTCTGGCCACTGCATAGGAGAGCTGGCATCTTCTGTGGTGGAGATGGGGCCAGGGTATGTGAGCCTGTGGCCCTTGGAAACAGGGATGAGTTTGTCGGCAGGGTAATTCTTGATCAGGGAGAAACCTGGGATTCCAAATCCTAGGACCTTTGAGCTGGAGGGGAGCCTAGGTTTCATCTATGCCTTTTTCCCTTGCTCTGCAGACAGGGGTCTCTGAAGGCTTAGAAAGGCGTCTTTGCTCATTGTGTGATAGAACCGATGGAATGTGCAGAATTTCTAGCCTCCTTTTAAGCCCCTGTTAGTACTCTATTCAGGCATCAAAAGTTCCCTCTTCAGATCCTGCTTTTCTAGTCATACCCTGGATGAATTTCACCCTAGGTAATTCCTCTCCTGATGGGCTTGTCCTGTAAACCACTGGGGCTAGGCTTGGCTAAATGAGATGTTTGTAAATGTGAAGAGTCCTCCGTGCACCCGCTGTGGTGGCTAAGGTTATTATAGGGGGCCCATGCTCACAGAGCTCCAGCACCTGGCCAGGCACTCTGGCTCCTCATTCGGCTCTGGAGTGGCCCCATACCTCTTCTCCACGTCCCGCTTTCAGAATTGCAGAATGCTTGCAGACTATCTCTGACCTGGAGACGGAGTGCCAAGAACTACGCAGTAAGCTTCAGGACCTCGAAAGAGCCAACCAGACTCTGAAGGACGAATATGATGCCCTGCAGATCACGTTTACTGCCTTGGAGGAGAAACTGAGGAAAACTACTGAAGAGAACCAGGAGCTGGTCACCAGGTGGATGGCCGAGAAAGCCCAGGAAGCCAATCGCCTAAATGCAGAGAATGAAAAAGATTCAAGGTGAGACATCAGTTCCACAGGTAGTGGTTTCCATTTTTAATAAAGTAGAGCCTGGTTCTCTGAAAAGACAAAAATGAACCTGGCAGCTCTGATGAGGGAGAAGGGGACAGCTGGCCAGAAAACACTAATAAAATCAGAAATCGCAGTGGTGCATGTAAAAGATTTGCGTTTATAAGACAGTTTTACAGCTGAGCAGAGGATTACCTTCCAAAAGGGCTTTGACCCATACAATTTTTGCCAGTGAATTCTTTTCAGTGTTTCGAAGAAAAGCTAATTCTTGAACAATAGAAGGTCAATCAGAGGGGTGCCTGGGTGGCTCAGTCGTTAAGCGTCTGCCTTCAGCTCAGGTCATGATCCCAGGGTCCTGGGATCGAGCCCCACATCGGGCTCCCTGCTCCGCGGGGAGGCCTGCTTCTCCCTCTCCCACTCTCCTTGCTTGTGTTCCCTCTCTCACTGTGTCTCTCTCTGTCAAATAAATAAATAAAAATCTTAAAAGGTCAATCAAAATTAGAAAAAGATTGGAATTTCCCCCATCCCTAGTTTTATAAAACCACCCACACCCATACCAAGGCTCTTGGTAGTATAACAAGAAGACTACAGTCTAATCTCACGAAATATAGATGTGAAATTCCTAAGATTCACTGGTACCTTTTTTTTTTTTAAAGAGAGTGTGTACATGCACAAGGGGTGGGGTGAGGGGGAGCAGAGGAAGAGAGAAAAATCTCACGCTCCACACCCAGTGCAGAGACTGATACTGAGCTCCATCCCACGACCCCGAAATCATAACGTGAGCCGAAATCAAGAGTCAGATGCTTAACTGAGTGAGCCACCCAGGTGCCCCGGTACCTTTTTTTTTTTTTTTTTTTTAAATTCACTGCAGTCCTACTAGGATTTATCCCAGGAATTAAAAGATGGTGTATCTGGAAATCAGTTAAATCTATCACCTTGGATGATAAACTATAGAGCCACTTTAGTAGAACCCAAAAATGCCATTTGCTCAGATTCAGTTCCCAGTCCTGATAAAAACCCTTAAACTTGGAAAAAAGCTTTTAATAAAAACACCTGTCTGCAACCAACAGCTGATAGGGTTCTTAACAGGGAAGCCTTCCACCCTGGACACCAGGAGTTGGTCTTGGTGGAGGGAAATGTGTGTGTTGAAAATTCCCACCGAGAGTCCCAACATACACCCAGGAACAGAAGAAGGAAGGGCTCACTGTCTCCAGCTCTGAGCGATGTTTTGGCCATCTGACCAGGTAGGACACAGAATGCAAGGCCACTAGAAAGGGTGGGGGCTCATGTTCATCCACCTAGAAAGCCTAAGAAAATCCACCGAGAAAACCAACACTAAGTGGTCAACAGATTAGAACATACGACTTTAAAGCCGTGTCTTTAGGGTTTGAGAAGATTGTTGCAGTTAATCTAAAAGAATGAAAACAGGAGAGTCGTAAGTAATAATGATAACTAATCCTACCAAATAATATTCAAGTTGATTTGAGAATCTGTATAAAAACTGAAAACATAAGGTAGAGGTAAAAAAATGTGATTATCTGCTCTTTATTTTATGAAAAATTTCTAAATAGTATGAGTACTTTCCAAACATTAAAAATAATAGAAATAAAAAGTGGACTGTATAAAATTTTCAGATTTCTTGGGGCGCCTGGGTGGCTCAGTTGGTTAAGCAACTGCCTTCGGCTCAGGTCATGATCCTGGAGTCCCGGGATCGAGTCCCACATCGGGCTTCCTGCTCAGCAGGGAGTCTGCTTCTCCCTCTGACCCTCTGACCCTCTTCCCTCTTGTGCTTTCTATCTCTCATTCTCTCTCTCTCTGAAATAAATAAATAAAATCTTTAAAAAAAAAAAATTCAGATTTCTTAAAAGAACACAGAAATAATCGAGGACATGAGATTGTCATGTAAATACCCTAACGTGGAGCTGATAAGACAGGCGAGCCCTCTGACAGGCATGAGGTACAGGGAGTTGCTGAAAGCAGGCGTGTACACAGTCAGGGAAGCTGGCCCAGAGGGCTGTTGGGAGGAAGGGGGAAGCCCCTTCACATTGTCCATGGGAAGCCCATTCCACCACCATCTGAAGGGCACCTGGCCGTGACCTGAGAAGTGTTCCCACTTGTTGGACTTCAACCTAAGCAAGTCCTGAGACTTGGTCATGGGTATTATTTTGTGATGGCACATTACTCATAGTAGTGAAAAATAAGCAGTATCTCCCTCCGGGGAGAAATAAATTGTTATATTTTCATACAGTGCGGTTTTACAAAGTCATCTAAAAATACGTGTCTTAGGAGTACTTAGTGACCCGAGAAAATGCATATAATTAATATAACTAAAAATAAGCTAGGAAATCTTTTCATAGGATGTGATACAAAATTTGAATGAATTCGAAAGATTAAAAAGGAATTATACTGTTAATGGTGTTATTTCTTCGTGGTGAGACTGGCTTTTCTCATTTTATACTTCTCTGTATTTTCTAACTTTTTTTAAGTTTCTATCGTATTAAAAAATGAGCTTTCCCTTTTTCTGTCTTGTGTTTACTTTTTTTTTTTTTAAGATTTTATTTTTAAGCAATCTCTGCACCCAACATGGGGCTCAAACTCACAACCCCAGGATCGAGAGTCACGTGCTCTACGGACCGAGCCAGCCAGGCGCCCCTCATGTTTAAGTAAAATAGCTTGGCCTATGCAGTGGAGTCCTTAGGCAGCTTAAAGGCAGTGAACTCACCAGGGTCACCTGGAAGTCAGTGCAGTGTGTTGAACACCTGCCAAGGGAGAAGCAGGCAGGCATGTGGTTAAGCTAAGGAAGGGTCCTTGGTCATCACAGCGGACAGGAGAATAATACAGACTTCCTATTGAACATGGGGTGCAAGGCATATTACATGTTTGCCCTTGTTCCTTCCTTTGTAATGTTTTCCTAGGGATTTGCCCCTGGGTGTAGTCTCATCTGATTGTGTAGGCGGAGCCTGAGGTTTCTTCACTTTGCTCCCACTTTACTCCTTAGAAGCTTTCCCTCCTCCCTGCCGATCCCCAGGTTAGATGTTCTCCTAGTAGCCTTTGTTTACCTGAGTGGTAGCATGGTACATTTCATGTTTTGAAGCAGCTGTTCATGTTCTGCCTCCCTCTCTAGGCTGAGGTGTATGTCTTCACAGTCACAGTGGCTGATGTATTGGATGCCCTCGGGGAATATTTGAACTATTAAAGCAGGTGCTTGCTTTTTGGCTATTTTAATGAAGGAGGAGCTGCAGGTGCTTTGTCCTGCCTGTGACCCTAGGTCTATCCTTTAGCCCTCCCTTACAGCAGGTGCCTTTCCAGGAGAGGAGTTGTTACATGCCCCACACTGAGATTCTGGTTTTCCCTCAAAGGTAGTTCATGGGTCATCTATTTCAGCTAAGAAAAAATTATTAAGCTCTGTCATTTGTTCTGTAAAACTTAGTTTTCATCTTCTAGTTATAAAATTAAGAGTGTAGCGCGTAGGTGACACACGTCGGTTAAGTGTCTGACTCTTGATTTCAGCTCAGGTCCTGATCTCAGGGTCGTGAGATTGAGCCCCACGTCGGGCTCCATGCTCAGGGGGCAGTCTGCTTGTCCCTCTCCCCCTCTGCCCCTCCTCCCACTTGTTTGTGTGTGTGCACACGTGCTCGCACTTTTTCTCCTTCAAATAAATATATAAATCTTTAAAAAAAAAATAGGGGCGCCTGGGTGGTTCAGTCAGTTATGCGTCTGCCTTCAGCTCAGATCATGATCCCAGGGTCCTGGGATTGGGCCCTGAGTTGGGCTTCCTGCTCAGTAGGAAGCCTGCTTCTCCCTCTCCTGCTGCTGCTCCCCCTCTTGTGCTGTCAAATAAATTTTTAAAAATTTAAATAAATAAAAAATAATAAAATTAGTAGGAGTATAAGCTGCGACCTCATCCCTTCCCATGATTCAGATATGCCACCTAGAGGACTTCTCCCTGTTTTGAGAATTAACACTGTGGTAGAAGCTTTACAAAAAAAATTCCGGCAGAATTCTTGATTGGGGCTTAATAGCAGTGCTAGAGTTCCGGATTAGGGGTTCTCCACATAGAGGGTGAAACCACAGTTAGAGATTAAATTGCCATGGAAGAGAAAAACGAGGCCAAGGTTAAAAATGGAGGAGATCCTGAATTTAGGACTTGGGGAGAGACAAATTATTCTGAGAAGGGGAAATAGTGGACTTGACTGTTGGGCCACATGAAAATTTGTCCACAGCCGAGGGGTGCCTGGGTGGCTCAGTCAGTTAATCAGCCACCTACTCTTGATTTTCGGCTCAGTTCATGATTGAGCCCCATGTGGGGCTCCGCGCTCAGTGGGGAGTCTGCTTGAGGTTTCTCTTACTCCCTCTCTCTCTGCCCCTCCCCCCCCAAAATAAGTAATCTTAAACAAAAAAAAATGGCCCACAGCTGAGACGTCTGTGTCCAGCGCTGGTAAGTGAAGCCATGTGCGTTTTGACAGTTCAAGAATCTCATACCTCAGTTTCCTTATCTGTAAAGTAGTGCTGAATCTCAAAGCACTGTTACAAGGATTAAATGAGTTAAACCCTGGAGATAACAATACCAATACCAAGTCAGGGACAAGTAAAATCTAAGTAAATCTTAACTGTTAACTTTTCATGCTCTTGATATGTTGGTGTCAGACTATTTGCTGCAGGAAGCTAGCTCTTGATGGTCACTAACCCTGGATAAACCTGATGCGCCTTTCTGTCCTGAGAGGCCCCGGGTCACGACGGGCAGGCTTCTTTCTTGCCAGGTCACTGCTCTCTCTAATGACATAATCCCTCTTCCGGGCTTTGCTCTGGAATCCTTTCTAACAGGGTTCCTTAACTGACATTACTGGTGTGGGTTTGGGACTTTGGTATCTTTGCCCAGGGCAGTTATTTTAGGTGCACTGACTGACTATTCAAGTGTGTTAATGAGAGCTAGTAGTTTACTGAGGGCTGAAACGCCATGCTTTGTTGAAGCAGACATAACTAGTGGCTTTCTTCAATAGGAGGCGGCAAGCCCGGCTGCAGAAAGAGCTTGCAGAAGCAGCAAAGGAACCTCTACCTGTTGAACAGTAAGTAGAGCTATTCCAATCACACCTGCTCTTAGTAATTGGATTTGCGCTTTTAAAGTGGTTTTATCGTGGTCTTATTTCTGTAAAATCGTTTTATAGATTGTAGAAAGGAAACCTAAAGATGTAGGGGAGCCACTAAACGCACTGGTTACCTCCCCAAAGGTTGCTCCAGCTTCTGCTCCTCATCGGCTTTGGCGCCCTGTGTGGATAACTTCTGCATCCTGCATGAATGACTGCCTTGCTGCTTCCCCCTTGACACCTTGATCCGTTTTCTACCCCTCGTTGGGCCTCTTGGAGTGTATCGCTGGGCTGGGGTTCTTTCTCTTGCTCTCCGTTCTTGGTGTGTGACTTTGAGTGGAGGTGTGGGCAAACCTCTAAAGCCTAACTGAAAACAGCCGTTTCTTGGAGCAAAAGGGATTGAATCTGTTTGGAACTTTCCCCGATCTGGAGTTGGGGTGGAGGATCTCCCCCAAGATCTGAAGGTTTGTGTTAAGAGTGGTGGATATTTTAATGACTGAATTCCCTTTGCTTCTAGTCCACAGTGTGTTCCTTTTCTACTGAAAAAATATTCTGGAATATAGTATTAGAATTGTGATTTACTGGGTTGTAAAACGTTTTTTGTTTTCTTACAAACAGAGGGGACTGGTTTGAATTCAGTTAGAGGAGTCATCCACCAGACAAGGTATTAATTTATAAGGAAAAAAAGGTTTTCATACCAGGACTGCTTTCGATTTAGAATATGTACATTTCTTCTATACCCTCAGATGTGGAAAATAAATCTCAGATGTATTTTCCTGACACTACAAAGTAAATAAATGATTGACCTAGAAATGACAGCTTACAAAAGCATCATTTGTCTGCCTCCCAGCTGCAGCATGAACAGATGACTGGGTGTGACACAACTTAGGTCAAGCACGCTGCCCAAGAGCTCATAGAAAGGGGCCAAGTGAAGCTGATCTGGGAGTGCCTGACTGTAAACGCCTGTTCGTCGTCTCTGTGCTTCCCAAAGAGTGGAGTTTCTGGGGCAAAGGACATTTCTATCTTTGAAGGGTTGTGATAACCAGTTGCCACATCCTGGTATTTTCTTGTGGCCCTGGGTCTTCGCACAGTTCCAAGTGTCTTCATGTCTGTCGCGTTCTGAAAGCATTTGCATAGGCTCGGCTCATGGTCGCTACTCTTGCTGTCTCTGCCGCTCTGCTGTCACCCTTGTGTGGACACGAGTGACTCCCCCAAACCGCAACCACGAAGAAAAGAAAGGCCAGCCTTGTTTTCTTTCTTCAGGCCTGCCTTTGTTCTCCCCTACATCCTGGCCTAGACGGGGGTCAGTTGCGTGGAAGCCTAAAATCAATAGCCAAGGAAAACAAATTGTCTTTGGTTTAACTTGCTTGGTGACAAGTTATATTTACATAATCCGGATAATTAATCATGGATAAATCTTGCTCTCAAGTTCTAAGGAGTCCAAACATTAGGTGATACAGGCTTGGGTTGTTACGTTTTATTACTTTACTTCTGGTTGCAACTCGGTAGGAAGTCATTAAGACCAAAATAATTACTTGCCTTCCCCCCAACCAGGAAAAAGGGGGTGGAGTGGATTCCAGAGGTGCTTTGTATCTGGCGGGATAAGGCAGGTAAACAACAGGGCATTTCTGTGGCTTGATTATTTCGCGTGAAGCATGATGTGGACTCCCCAGACGTGAGAAGCACCAAGTGTTGCAACCTAAGCATAAAATACCCAGAGTCAAAAATGAATTGTGTTGAGATTTGGCTTTCCTGTTTCTATCATTAAGGCAGTATTTAAAGCCGATGTTAATGCAGCCGTTGACTCCATCGCCCTTCCAGCGAACCGTTTTCTTACTCCCCTGGACCTCCTTGCCCTGTTGCTTCCTTGTGCTCCAGAGCCGCCCCAGCTGTCGTCTGTGCCATGCTCAGCCCGTCACGTGGGAACTGTTCTTGGCGAGCACTGTGGTCCAGTTGTTTGTGTGCAGGAGCCCTTAGCCACGAACCCGGCCTGAAGGAAAGAATCTCTGTTGACACTGGATGCATGGTTCTAGACTTAATAGATCATTCTTCCCTTGCTTTCCAAGTGGGAGCTATGTTTACACCTCAGAGGATCAGAAGATCACTTTTAAGGTTATTTTCAGCTGGAATGCTGGATTTGATATCAATAGGTTAAACGTTTCTTTTAGAGCGCGGCTGTTCCTTTTTCTCCAGAGAACCCTTGGCCATCTCTGTCACAGCCAAGTCGCGTAGGCTGCGTGTGACTAGGGAGACGGTGCTGGCCTTGGTGGAACAGATTCGCCGCAAAGCTCCTGCCGAGCAGGATCAAAGACTTAGCCTCTTGCCCTTTTTTCCAGGGATGATGACATTGAAGTCATTGTGGATGAAACCTCTGATCACACGGAGGAGACGTCTCCCGTGCGAGCCATCAGCAGAGCGACCAGGTAAGTAGCCGGCGCGGGCCAGGAAAGGAGCGCTCACGCTGCAGTCCGACAGCACGTTTGTGGCCGCGGCGAGAGCAGCTCGATGCACCCAGGCCCTTCGCTGGAGCGCCCGGCCCCTCCTGCCTGCACAGCTGTGGAGATCGTGGGCTCCTGAGTGTCCCCATCTTCCTTTGGTCACCTTGTCATGGGAAGCAAGCTCCCCTAGTGCTGCCACCACCCTGTGAGGTGTTGGCTTCCCACAAGATGGACAGTTACACCTTGTTGGGATGAGTATTTAGATCATACTGTTTACTTCGTACTTGGGTTCCAGGATTTTTTCTCTTTGCTAAATAAAGCAGGACTGAAAGGGTGGGGATTGGTTGTTAACAGCCAACACTGTTAGGTCAGACTGAATGAGTCAGGGTTTAAAGCACAGTCTCTGGGACAGTTAATTACTGCGAGGGAACCTCGTGTCTTTCACAGCTAACGAAGCTGGGTCCTCCCTCTTGCCTTCCCCCTGTTTTCTGATGGTTTGCTCCTCCGAGGGGTTTCTTCGCTGGGGTTTGGGGACTCGATGGGAAACATACTCCCAGGTACCTATTTTTGTGGACTGTTTTTATTGATGAATCATGGGCAAAACGTTTCTAAGGTTTAAACCTATCCTCCCCTCCTCTTTAGTAAGCGACTCTCGCAGCCTGCTGGAGGCCTTCTGGATTCTATCACTAATATCTTTGGGTAGGTTAGAAAACTTTCACCTTTCCTTGTTAATATGTGTGAATATTCATAAGTATTGTATATGATTTATCGCCATTTTTTAAACGTACACCAGAATTTCTGTGGCGCTGAGTGTACAGATGCTTTGACTTCAGCTTTTCACCTAGCTTCTTCCTTTTTTCCTCCGTTTTCTTTCTCTTACTCTCGCTGCGTGCTGATCTGGCCTTACCTTTAGTCTGTCCGAGTCTCCCCTTCTGGGACATCACTCTCCTGATGCTGCCAGGTGAAAAGAATACCTTCTCTCAGCCCGGCATGTGAGCGTGGCTCCTTGATGATTGTGCTCATTGCTGCTTCAGTCCCTTTGTTGGATGTGCATGTGCCTCCCAGGCCGCCGTGCATGTTCCTGGGAGCGCTGTCGGCCTCTTGAGCGGGCAACGGTTAGGTTGAGCTCTGCACAGCAGACACGCTCTCCTCCCTCTCTTCTCTGGCATGCGTTCGACTCTGCCTTGACCACACTGTACGCTGAGAATGATCGTAGCTAGGCATAGAAGTGACCTTGAAGTAGTCTTATCAAAATACAAATGAGCTCCCTTGGAGCTGGCGGTTACATTACGTTGAGAACGTTTTTGCAGCCGTTGATTGGCCGGGAAGCAGTTTTGCGGGATTGCTTTTCAGTGTTGGGTTCTGGAGTCCATGAGTTATGGACTTTGAGAGAGTAAGAGAGTAGAGCTATGTGCTGGATACCTCTCCGGGTATCGTTTGGGTGAGGATGCCTCTGGTAGGCTGAACTGTTCTGTGGTTCGAAGAGTCTAGGAGGGAGAAGAAGCTACTGTCAAAAGTTGTCTTTGAATCCCTCCTGGGCGGACAGGAAGCCTTGTGTAATCCTAATACTTTCCTTTATGTTACTTCTTAGGAGGCGCTCTGTCTCTTCCTTTCCAGTTCCCCAGGATAATGTGGATCCTCATCCCGGTTCTAGCAAAGAAGTGAGAGTGCCGACAACCGCGATGTGTGTCTTCGTAAGTGCGGTTGGACCCCACCTGCCACCAAGCTTTGTGTCGTAACCGAGCCAGACAGTTCAAGGATCCGTTCTCTACCGCAGCTAGCTTTCTACTATTTTATTTAGAGCAGTAGCAAGCTTTTACACCTGTTGGCTGTGGCTGATGGAAGGGATTGATACGTTTTGCTTAGGGACAGAATTTATTACAAACATTCTCTAATACAGGACTGGCTGAGAGAGAATCGCTAGCATGAGAAGATGGGACAAGGGGGAAGGAACCAGGGCTGGTGAGAAGTTACAGTAATTTATGTCATTGTTGTCACTGGTTGGCTCCAATCTAGAGTGAGACTCTAGTCAGTAGTCGGTTTTAGAAGGTGGGTAAGGGCAGCTGTTTGCTCCGTGAATTATACCCATATCTGTGTGACTTCCCTTCGTTAGGAGCACAAGGTTGGAAGCAGGAGACAGTCCTGGGCAGAGGCCACTGTGATGCTGGGCTGTCAGCTGGAGTTCAGAGCTGCGTGCTAATAAAAAAGAATAAGCAGGTCCCAGCTGGGGGGACTGAGCAGAAATGGATTCAGGCTGGGGAAATGTGGGGGTACCTGACTCGGGGCGGGGGATGGAGAGGCAGAGCCCAGATAGCTGGGCTGACTCGTGGATTACATGGGGTGAGTTAGAGGAGCCAGCTTTCAGGGGAAAAAAAGACTCACTGTAAAAATGGGAGGGAATTTATATGGGGAAGGCTTACAGTTCCAGGCATAAGGAGGAATCGAGTAGAGATTTCCACCCAGTGAACCGGCTGAGTGATTTAACCACCTCGTATGTCACAAAGAGAGTCTCCCTCTGGATGAGGAGTTGGACTGGGGACCATTAAGGCCCCTTTCTATTGCACTCCTGTGAGTCCCTGGAGGTCAGTGATGATTGGTAAAAGGTCTGATTGCACTTAATGTCACAGTCCCTTCTTTGCCCTCAACTCCCAGCAGCCCATTGTTTTTTCCTGTCACATTTAAGTCATGTGTATGGGGATAATGGAGCAGCTGATAATTTGGGATTCTGTCAGCGTGTGTTTCTGAGAGGATACAGTTCACAGCTGACAAGTATCCAACAGAACCAGCTATGCAGGAGCTTGAAGAGCGGCAGTCATGGGTGTGATGGTGCATGATCTCAAGTTTTCAATCTGAGACCTCTTAAGTAGAAAGATATTAAAAAAAAAAAAAAAAAGGAAGGGAATCACATGGAGGCAAAAAGGTTCGTCACCTGTCTGATAGCTTTTCAGCAGTGGGACACGAGGGCTGCGTCAGGATCAGATCACCAGGCAAAATAAAGTGATGCTTATGTCCCAGTCAGTTAATAATCATGCTTTCAATAATATTTCAGGCATCTTTTTCAGTCCCAAGCAAATGTGACAGTAAGATTTTGTTTTCCCAAAAATGATGTTTTAGGCAAGTGATTGATGACCTGTTGGGTTTTTTTTTTTTTTTAAGATTTTATTTATTTGACAGAGAGGGACACAGCGAGAGAGGGAACACAAGCAGGGGGGAGTGGGAGAGGGAGAAGCAGGCTTCCCTCGGAGCCGGGAGCCTGATGCAGGGCTCGATCCCGGGACCCTGGGATCATGACCCGAGCCGAAGGCAGACGCTTAACGACTGAGCCACCCAGGCGCCCCGCTGATGACCTGTTTAATAGTCTAATATTTGTAATCCACATTTTCCGCAGTCTTTTTTTTTTTTCCTTTTATGGAAATTTTCCAACATTTGTGTGATAGGGAGTAAAAGAACTTTCAGGTCCCATCATCCATCATCCTGCCAGGCAGCCCCAGTTAGCTACGTCTGCCAGTTTTATTCTCTCTGCCCCACACACTTTTGCCAGAGCAATTTAAAGCAAATCCCAGACATTGTAGTTCATAAAGATTTCAGCATCCGTAGTCTGTCTTTCTTTCTTTCTTTTTTTTTTTTAAAGATTTATTTATTTTAGAGAGGGTGGGAGGGGCGGAGGGAGAGAGTGAGTTCCAAGCAGACTCCCTGCTGAACACAGAGCCCGATGCGGGGCTCAGTTGGACGCCCAACCAACTGAGCCACCCAGGCGCCCCCATAGTCCTTTAAGAGAGGTTTTAGTGACATCTTCTGGTATTCTTTTCTCCCATTCTAGGAGGGAATGCTTTTTACTCCATTTCCCTTCCCATCTTGAACACAAAAAAAGATGCCGTCTTTTCAGATTGTTCTAGTTTGGATGCCATTCTCAAAAATTTCCCTGCGAAGGGGTACCTGGGTGGCTCAGTCGATTAAGATTTCAGGTCATCGTCTCGGGGTCATGAGATCGAGCTTTGTGTCAAGTTCCGCACTCAGTGGGGAGTCTGCTTGGGATTCTCTCCCTTCCCCTCTGTACCTTCCCTGTGTGCGCTCGCTCTCCAAAATAATTAAACTTTTAGAGAAAAAAAGTTTCCCTGTGAAGAATTTATTTTTTTTTTTTAAGATTTTATTTATTTGACAGCACAAGCAGGGGAAGCGGGAGGGAGAGGGGGCAGCAGACTCCCGCTGAGCAGGGAGCACAATGAGGGCCTAAATCCCAGGACCCTGGGATCATGACCTAAGCCAAAGGCAGACACTTAACCAACAGCCACCCAGGCATTCTTTCCTGTGAAGAATTCAAATTCTCCCAAGTGACACCTATTTTATTAAAGGCCTATTCATGATCAGGCACAGTCCTAGGTCACACAGCTTGGTGGAAGTCCTTTTCTATAGATGAGCAAGTGAGCTGAGACTTCGGAAAGTTAAGAAACTTGGCAAAAGTGACCCTACTAGTACACACTAGTGCCGTGTTGTTTGCAGAACTGAATAGAATCCCACTGTAACACTGATGTGTAGTAGCAGGACTGTATCTGCTCGTTATTAGGACTCCATATGAGTATACTCACATTAGGAAAGCCCATAAAGACTTTATCATGAGAAGCCATGCTGTACTTTGACTACCTAGTTTAGCATGTAGCATTAACATAATCTGGACCAAAAGAGAGGCAGTTAATCAGAGGCTTACTTTTAAGCTATTAAGATCATAGAAGAATATAGACTGAAATTTCATTTTTCTTAAGAAATAAAATTAATGCAAAGAGAAACTTTAGGCAGTCTACACGGATTTTGAATACTCTTTAAGAAGGTTGCAGTGTATTTAAGTAAGTGGAACTGTAACTATAAGAATAAAATGGTAACAATCTTAGGAGACCCTGGGCTAGGAATCCAAGTTAGTTTATGAGCGGATCTCCTTCATCTCTGAATGAGTGTCTAAAACCTTTGGTTAGGCATCCAGAGTGTTCATTTGTACTGGGCTTCCTCTCGGGAATGACGGTGATTGGGGTTGAAGCAGGGTGCTTGTCTTGCAGGATGCTCACGATGGGGAAGTCAATGCTGTGCAGTTCAGTCCGGGCTCCCGGCTGCTGGCCACAGGAGGCATGGATCGGAGAGTTAAGCTTTGGGAAGTGTTTGGAGGTGAGACCCCAGAGTGCAAAGAGCCTGCATTGGTGACATCTGGTTGACCTTGCTTTCAAGCAATGTGTAAATCATTCACCTTCTTCAGATATCCTGTATTTTGTGTAAGGAATTATCTGACCAAAGCCTTATCACCATCTCATATGCTATAGCTGAGTGGATATTTGCTCGGAGTTTTAAAGTAGTGACTAGAAAATGCTGTTAAGTTATGGATTCGTTAGTGTTTATGTTTTCTCAGGTATAATTAGAACATCTTCCAAGGTAATACTGGTTTTAGAAGCAAAATAAAAAGTGTTAAAGTCATAGACTTTAGAATTAAACTATACATTGAGCTGAGGTGTGTGCATTTAATAACACCAATGGCTTTGGCCTAGGGAAAAAGATTGAGGTCATATCTAAGCTTGAGAATAAAAAGAGGGGTGTATCTTTCAGGCAAAATGTATTCAACAAGCCGCTTATCATCAAGGGCCAGAAGATCAAGACCTTGTTTCAGAAGTGGCTTCAGAGTACTCAGATGGGAAGCATTAAAACAGGAAATGGGACTTAATGCATCTCTTAGAATTCTGAAGGTGGGGATAGCTCAGTTTCAGCATTTTGAGATTTAGTTAAATCTCATGGTTTTTTTTTTATTAAAGCAAGGTCAAGGAATAAGGCTGAAGATTTTAATAAGAACCGATTTGTCAACTTTCCATAGTTGTAGCACTTACATGCCCACTGTCCAACAAGAAGTAGATCCAGCAGGCCTCTGTCTGTGTTATTTCCCCCTGATCCTCCCCACAGCCCCGTGCAGTTTGAAAGGTGGGTATCGCCCCTACTTGACAAGATGAAAACTCAAGAGACACTACTGATTTGCATAGTTGATTTACATGGCTGGTAACTGATTAGGGTGGCACGGGGGTGGCAGAACCGGGACCTGAACTGGGTCTTCTGACTGCAAAGCCCTTCCCACTGTGGTCTCCCCTGAGCTATAGAGCGGCTGAAGAAGCATGTGGGTGACTACTTTTGGTGTGTTTAGAGCAAGAGCAATCTATTGATCCCTTTGGTTATAATAGCTTACCAATAAAGCATCAAATTTGTCTGCCCTGGCCTTTTTTTTTTTTTTTTTTTTCTTCTGGGAAGTGACTCCATAGTTAAATCCCTGGCAGATACAGGTAGTTGAAGCCCCTGAAAATTTGTGCCGTTTTACCCAGAAACACCTTATGAATGATAATTGTGAAAATCACGGTAATACAATAATAAAGCCATATCATAATAATAGTTTTATGAGATTTGGGTTTTTAAAATCTAAGCAGATCATCTGTTTTGATTATGTTTTGTGATTAAATAAAAATAACTAGAAATACTTTTTACTTCCTGGTAGTAAAAGCGCTTGTAAGAAAATTAGAACCAGCCTTTAGTAACAGTGTTACATTTTTGCTGCTGTGAAAAGGAAGTAAATGGAAATTAATATTGGCATAATTTGTGTCAATAAAATGAGAAATTTCTACTGGGTCTGCAGAAATAACATAGAATGTTTGGCAGCACTTTATATAGTTTTGGGGACCAAATATCAGTTATGGCCTAATTATAAGGCATTTCTTCTGCAAATCACTTATTCAGTCAGCAGGTTTTTTCTCGTTGGCTAATATTTACTGAATCTTGGAAGAGACTACACAGGCCTTTTATGAAATAGTTTGGGGGTCCTGTTTTATACCCTTTTAAAGTATCAGAAGAACGGCATTTTCTGCCCAGTAGGAGCATCTTTCCTTGCTCTATCAAAATTTTGCAGAAGCTCCATTGGGATGTTGACATACCTTCCCTTGGTGTCCTCTAGATAAAGAGCTTTGGAAAGGATTTTTTTTTTTTTTTGATGGTTTGAAATCAGCCTCTTATGTAGAATAGTATTTGTTGGTCATTTTTACATTTTGGCAATGTGTTAACTGCCAGAGAAATAGACCGATATCTTGGGCATAAGCCAAAGCGGTATTTCTTAGAATTTACAGCAATATTTTTGTAAAGATCTAATCTAAAGACCTTAATTAATTAGTGGATATTGGCCTCTTCTGACTTTTGAAAACCTAATGAAGGCTAGGGTCCAAGAAAAGGCATTAAATGTGCTATACAGGCATTTTGCAAATAAATTCAGAGGGTGGGCTTCATCAACCAGTTTAATAATCCTGACCCTAAATGTATTTGACAGCTCCAAACGAGTATTCATAATTATTATCAGAAGTATTGAGTAAGAGAAAAGGCTCTTCTCTGAAATGTTTCCAATTTTGTGCTCTCTTTGAGATTTATTTATTTTATAGAGGGGGGGGGCGCCTGAGTGGCTCAGTCAAGTGTCTGCCTTCGGCTCAGGTCATGATCCCGGGGTTCTGGGATCAAGCCCCACATCGGGCTCCCTGCTCAGCGGGAAGCCTGCTTCTCCCTCTCCCTCTGTCTGCCACTCCCCCTGCTTGTGCTCTCTCTCTCTCTCTCTCAAATAAAAAAAAAATTTTTTTTAAAGATTTATTTATTTTAAAGAGAGAGGGAGAGAGAATCTCCAGCAGACTCTGCTCTGAGCATGGAGCCTGATGTGGGGCTTTATCTCAAGACCCTGAGATCATGACCTGAGCGAAGTCAAGAGTCGGACACTCAGCCAACAGACACCCAGGCGCCTCATTCCCTTTTATGAATTTGATTTGGATGGTTCCCTAATTGTTTTCTGATCTTGTCATCCTTAAGGTACCTTTATTTATTTATTTTTTTTTTTTAAGATTTTATTTATTAGAGAGAATGAGAGAGAGCACAGGAGAGGGGGGAGGGTCAGAGGGAGAAGCAGACTCCCTGACGAGCAGGGAGCCCGATGCGGGACTCGATCCCGGGACTCCAGGATCATGACCTGAGCCGGAGGCAGTCGCTTAACCAACTGAGCCACCCAGGCGCCCCTTCAGGTACCCTTTAGAAAGAGACTTAATCACATCATTTTGAGACTTGTACTCTTGTCAGTTTGTGCCTACCTACATCATTAAAGTTCCCTCATGGGTGGCCAGAGATATCTGAGGGCAGGACCCAGGAGCCTGTGCTGGGTCTGTTGGTGAGGGAGGTTGTGGGGAGGGGAGTGCTGGCAGCCAGTTGGATTACCAGAATCTTCGGTTCTCGGAGACAGGAGAAGTGTACAAATTCCAGAAACTCCAGACTAGCTTTACTGGCATTCTAAGGACTAGCCAGTTACACATAACTAAAAAAAAAAAAAACTTTTCAGACCCTAATGAGAATTAACACATAGATTCTGAAAAATTTTAGTAGTCAGGTTCTATAGAAGTAATTGTCAAATCGATACAAATGGTAATCAAACCCAAAGGTGTATTTATCTGAATTACTGAGAAATTGCAGGACTAAAACTCAGTCTCTAGACGGATTGACCTGTCTTTTTGTAAAGCGAATTGGTGATTCTAAAGTTCTTGGAAAGAACAGTGGAGCGCCTGCGCAGTGCTGGGCCCTGCGTCGGCGTACACACGCGCGGCCCCTCCCGCTGACCGGCTGCCTACTCTTGTCTCACTGCTGCGTTTGCCCCACTGCTCTGAGATGCTGCCTCAGTGCCGGATGGCTGCTCTTTGTAGCCTCTGATCGGCTGCCGCCGTGTTTCGGGTGCCCCGTCCTAACGCCGGTGTTGGCCTTACTTTCCTTTTTCTCCTCTCTTTCTCTCTCCAGATAAATGTGAGTTCAAGGGCTCCCTGTCTGGCAGTAACGCGGGAATTACAAGCATCGAATTTGACAGCGCCGTGAGTATCCCGTGCCTGTGGAAATGGGAGCACTTAGAGGTGCTTAGAAACCATTTAAGACATCCAGTTCTTGAAATTTAAAAATTACTCAAGACGATTTCCCTGCTGTTCTCGATCTTAAGTCCCATCAGTGTTAGGTCAGGATGCAGGTAGATTATAAATTCTGTGCTGGCTGTGACCGTATTGAAGTCTGGGTGGGGGAGGCAGGTCTGCGGTGCCCCGGCCGGTCAGTGCCTCTGCAGACTTGCTAAAGGCCCCGGCTGAAGCCCCGGCGGTGCAGGGGGAGGGGAAGGGGTCTATCTAGGTGCCTGAGAGATGGGCGGATCTCAGGGAGGGTAGTTTTGGGAGGTTGCGGGAGGAGAGAGGCCGGTGCCTCTGGGCTCTGCAGCTTGGACCGTGTGTAGAGAATTGGTATTTGCCATTGCTGAAGGGGGTGGAGGGGGTGGCTTATGAACTCAAGAGGACAAGTTCCGGTTTGAGCTGGAGAGTCTGCAACATTCCAGCAGGATGGCGGGATTGAGCAAGTTCGGGAGCAAAGTGTGGATTTACCGCAGTTGGTGGGTTGACAGGATACTGGGGTAACAGTTGGTGTTCACATCAGGTATGCAGCTTTTGAGCATCTAGTAAACCTTTCTGGACTTAGTTCTTAGGGAATTTGTATTGTGTGGACTGAAATCCTCTATTTCGTCTAAAATTTGTCTCTCCTCCACCCCCCTCTCTCCCTTATTTCCATAGGGCTCTTACCTCTTAGCAGCTTCAAATGATTTTGCAAGTCGAATCTGGACTGTGGATGATTATCGGTTACGGGTAAGACCCAGTTAAGGAAGTTAGTATAATCTCCGAACTTCGTGAGGTTCTCAAGGCACAAAATGTAGGAAATGGCAGGTTGATGAATTAGGAGGATCCTGTTTTCCTGAAAATCATACTTGATTCCCCCTGCCCTTCCCTTTCCCCCTTGGGAGAATTTGTGTTTCTGTGTTACATTCCTCCTTTGTCTAAGATTTAGTTTCAAAATACTTGCACGAGGAAGCCATCACATTTCACATGAAAGACTCAGGGTGTTCCTGTTCCTAAGAACTAGGTACTTGGGGCAGGTGTCCATTTTAGCAGAACTTCAGCAATCCCAGCATTGTCGTAGAGGTTGTTGTATCTCCGAGTTAGGTCTCCAAGACTAATAACGAGCTGACAGAGTAAAGCTGCAAGGAGGACATAGGAGTACGTGAGGATGCACCCAGGATGGCGAGAACTACAACTGTTGACACAAGGTGGGAGCAGGTTGGAGGGAAAAGGGGAAGGTCGGGGTCACGTGAAGGAATTTGCATGCGAACCCAAAGTTGTTGAGAAGTCGCTTGGCCTCCACAGCAAAGACCAAAACTTGGTGGTTATAGCATTTTGGTTCTAGTGAAAAACAAATAGCTTAATTTGGAGACACGTTTTTTTCCCTTAAGCCTGAAGCGGTTCTCACATGAGCTCATTAAGCAGAGGCTGTTGAAAGATAAGAGGGAGGCTGAGCTCTCTACGAAGAAAAAAGTTTGACCCGAGCTTTTGTACGTCAACCCGCACGAGGCATGGCGTTGAGAGCCTCCTCAAGGTAAATCTGCAGAGAGGCGGGGAGCTGCAGCACAATGGTCCGTTGCCAGTGGTCAGATTTGATGATGCCGGGATGCGGCTAGAAGAATCTTTAGAAATGCACAGTTAACCGATCACACAGGCTCTCCATCTTCTTGAAGGAGCTGTAGGGAACGTGACCGGTGTTAGATGCCAGTCACTGCCTCACAGGTGGTGGTGATCCTTCATTCTGAGTTGGAAGAAGATCCGGGGCTACACATGCAAAGTGTGGGGCGTGAAGCTGACACGGGTTACGTTCCCTTGTGAATGCTGAAGAGCCCGCTTTGTATTCTTGTCTGAATGGAGGAACAGGGCGGTGGGCCGCCGGGCCCCCGTGGGCGGGGCTGGACCCTCTGCGGAAGCATAGTCATGTCTGTTCCCACACTTGAACAAGTTTTCGGTTGCAGCCCTCTACTTCTGCACCCTCAACAGGGCCGAGCCTTCAGCCCGTTCTCGCGGTGGCGTCATAATCCGCCGTGGGCTGGGCTGTGCTCTCTTAACCGCTGATCACTTCCTGGTCACCTGTGACAGCGTTGGATACGTCTGCGGTCGTCAGTTTGCCTGAAGGAAAAGGGACTTTTCTTGAGTGGCTCCTAGGTGTCAGACCCAGTACTGAGGTCCTGTATGTACCCGACTGCTTTTTTCATCCCCAGGGGAACAAGGTGAGGTAGGTTATGGGGAAACCAAGGCTCAGAGAAGCCCACAAAATTGCCTCAGGAACCACAGCTACCAGATGGGAATGGGGACTGGGCCCCGTGCTCGTCTCTGCTTGACCTGGACTATTCTAGCACGTCTAGAGACTGAGGTACAGCAGGACTGTCTCACCGGGAAGAAGGACGTACAGTCTTCCTTTCATTCTAGGCCCTTGGAGGAAAAAAGCAAGCGGTTGAGGGGTCAGCCAGTTGTGCAGGATGATATTTTTCATTGGTAAAAGAGTTGTATTCAGGTGGGCATCAGCCCTTGGAAATAAGGGGACCTGGGGGTGGGAGCCAGACCTGGAAGACAGAGATCATAATGTTGGGAAACTTTTTTCAAGTGAGCTAGTTTGCAAAGGTGGGCCGAGTTTCACGGGAGAGGGTGCTCAGGGTGCTGGAGCACCAGGCTTCAGCTGGGGTTGCTGACGGGTTGGAGGCTGGTGCCAGGACGGTAGCCTCCTTAGCTGGGCTAGCTGGCTCTGAGGTCATCTGGCTCGCTCTCCGTGTATGTGTGATGAAGATCAGGAGGCCTTCGTAAACATCTTCTCTGTGCCCAGAGACATGGAACTCTTACGGGGTTCAGGAGAAATAGGCTCCCTCTTGTAGGAGGCTCTGGCTTCTACTTAAACCCTAGTTAACAGAGGGTGTTGGAAGACACGGGGGTCCATGTTCTGAAATTCAGGATCCAAGCCCTTAGTTTTTATGATAAGGGAATGGTGTTGGGAGAGGCCAGAATGCAGGCAGCAGCTGGCAGAGTCCTGGCTTTAAAATCCTTGTAGTAAAGGTGTCCTAGAAACAGCCTGGTATTTACAGAGGACTCCCTTGAATAGCAGGTGTTTTAGACTCCCTTAAATATCCAGAAGGTCCTTGGAAAATTGCCTAGCTGCTCTCTAAAATGTGACTTGAGGAATGGGGTTGAACAGCCCACCTTGTTCACTTCTCTAATGTTGACATGGAAGAGTAACCGCAGTGACGGGACTGGCTTTCAGATGGCGGTTTGTGCTTCAGAAACCTCACCGAGTTCTGCATTTTTCTGGGGTCCGTCGACTGGTTGGTGCTCATGGTGGTTGCCTGCATGGTGGGTGGCCCTCGGGTCTGCCCTGAGGCACGGGGTGGGGGGTGCCTGGCAGGGCCCTGGAGAAGAGAGGTGCAAGCTGCTCTTGACGTCTGAACCCGCTGCCCCATCTCTTAGGAGCCGCTGTTTGAAAAAGGAAGATAAAACCTGAAAAATAAATTGAATATTGAAAAGAAATACCAGAAACACCGAGTGGATAAAAATTTCACATAAATCTGATGCGCTTAAGATAAGGACTTTGTAAATTACGGAAAGAAGCCTGGAGGAGGCTGCATTCCATACCTTTGAGGGCGTGGAGCTGGACCCCATCAGCTGGATTTCCTCCAAGGACGAGATTCGCAGAAGGCCAGACTTTTTTAAAAAGCAAACTGACACACATATGAAGAGCCAGGAAATAACGATATCCCTTTCCTCTCTTTCATCAGTCCAGCAGTTTTACTCTGGGAAACGGGCCTGGAGAAGGCTACGTGCCTGTAGCTGTTCTGTAGCATTGTTTGTGCTCCTGAGATGTAAAGTGACCTGGGTGTCCGCTGGGCACAGAAATTTCCATGAAACTGTAATTGCCACTTGAAGATCATTGAACTATCAGAGTAACCATGAAGGCTCTTAGCGGGCGCAGGAAGGAAGAGCGTTAATGCTCCCAGCAGTGGGCCTTGTGCACCGGTCACCTTGTTTGGTCCTTTTACCGAAAGAGCGGGAGGAGGCGGTTTGTCTTTCACAGATGTTCGAGCCCTGGCTGTTCAAAACCGGAGCATTGTGACCCCAGAGCCGGAGCATCTTCAGCTGTCACGTGGAAAACTACTTCGAGCAGTGGATAAATTTTTAGGAGTATTTTCACATGAGGGCAGTGCAAGCATTAACTCACAAAAACGAGTGTGCTCCCAAGCCTGTTTGTGAGCAGTGTCTCTTCCTCCGGAGTTTGCCAACTGGGATTTTACTTCTGTAGGAAGAAAGAAAGCAGTGAATGTACCCAAAACTTTGATTTCTTTGATGAAGTAGTTCTTTTCTCCAAACTTAATTTACATAGCATGAGGAGTACCCTTCCCAAGTGATCCGTACAGTTTGGCTGGCCTGTGCTGAGTGGAATCCTTACTCCCGTGTTGTGTTGAATGTAAGCCTTGTTGCTGGAGTTTTCGGGATCTTACGAGAAGGATCCGTGGGAGGTTTTTACACAGCCACAGCACAGCTGCCCCTTGGCTGGCAGCAAGTATATGATGTACGTTCCAGTTTCGGAGAGGTTTAAACGTGGGAGAAACGAGTCTTCGAATGTGTACCAGCTTCTCCCTTCGGAAGTGGGGGGACGGGTGGGCCCGGGTTTTCTGTCCCTGTGCTGAGGTGGCATGGCTCCACTGAGCAGGGAGGGAAGATTGGTTTCAAAAATTCTCACGCTGAACATCTTACACAAAACAGATCTCCTCTTTGGGAGTCAGTGTGGAAACCCTGTAAGTAAGCTGGCAGTTGTAGTGCGTATATCAAAGCTTTTAAAGGCTTATTTATTTATTGGTTGGTTGGCTCATTAAAAAGAAAACAAACCTCAGTGAAGGCCTTCTGAGCCTTTGAGATTTTGCACCGAGAAGCATGTTGACCCGTGCTGAAAAGCATTCTATGAGGAGTAGTGAAAGGTCTGACTCCCAGGGTCCCCTCCCTGCACCCTTGGCATCCCCTTGGGCTCCAGTACTGCCGAGTCGGGCAGAAGGGGGGCGGTGCTGGGTGGTGCCCCAGTGCTGTGCTCCTTGGCTAGCACCCCACAGTCACCAGCCCCGGGGGTTTGACTGTTGGGAGTGCGCAGCTCTTTGTGGTTATGGTCTGACGTTTCAAGCTGAGACCTCTGATTGAAAAAACCCCCAGGGGTTTTAATTGTTTATTTAAAGAGTCCTGATGTTCCCTTTTGTAAATTATGCCTGCAGGGAACCTGTCTGTTCTGACTGTAAATAGGGCCTGGATTTTCAGAGGCACTGGGTAAAAATCCAGGCTTTTAAAAAATTCTGTAATTTGATACAATCCAGACTTACAAAGAAGGTTGCAAGAACACTACAGACTGGGGGTATCTGTAACAGAGTTTATTTCAAAAAGGTCCTCCAACTGCCCATCCCTTTTTTTGAGGAGAGAGGCACTTGAACTTGGCACTAGTGGTGTTGGATTTTTTGTTGTTATTTGTGCTGGGAGATTTATGTGCTGCTTCTTGATTCCTCACCTCTGGGCCACACCGAAAGACAGGCTTTCTGGACGTCTAGTCGAGCCACATATCCTTTTGTCTGAATATTCCTGACCATATCTCCAGGTGTTTGGAGAAGCTAGCTCTTCCAGCATGGTGCGCCCCCACGGCTTACCCTGGCTGTGTTCTCTCCCCTAGCACACCCTCACGGGACACAGCGGCAAAGTGCTGTCTGCCAAGTTCCTGCTGGACAATGCGCGGATTGTTTCCGGAAGTCATGACCGGACCCTCAAGCTCTGGGATCTACGCAGCAAAGTCTGTGAGGAAATCCAGTCTCTCTGTCTGTGTGTATGATTAGACGTTAACCGCAAGGTGTTTGTTGCCACATGAAAGCCTATGCCTGGCGTGATACCGTTTGAATTGCAAGTCCGGTTTCATACTCAGAGTGGCGTTGAGGTTGTGCCGGCTTTCTGTGTTTGAGATTGTGTTTAAATAAGGAGCGCTGGTTACTCAGGGCCAGGGGGAATCGATGCTCCCTGCACAGCCCCGGAGTGGCCTCTGCTCGGTTACTAATGTTCGCTCTTCTTTCAGGCATAAAGACCGTGTTTGCAGGATCCAGCTGCAACGATATCGTTTGCACAGAGCAGTGTGTCATGAGTGGACATTTCGACAAGAAGATTCGTTTCTGGGACATCCGGTATACTACCCCAGAGCATGGTGGGGGAGGCAGATGAGAGGGTCTTCCCGTGGCAGAGCTCTGATGAGGTTTTGTATATAGAGTGTGCTTTTTAAGATCCCGGAAGTGGCGGAAATGAGCCCCAGTCCACATTTATCTCAGTACTTTGACATTCTTTACCCTGAGGTAGACTGTCTCGTTCAGCAATCACTTACGAGCACGCTCTCTGTGCTTTCGAGGCACTTTGCCAGCTGCTAGGTAAACGAAGGGACAGCTAGGTAGTCTGCAGTGTCGCAGGGAAGACTGATAAGGCAGGTCTACAAGGTGTTCTGAAGTAGAGCCAGGCACCTTGGCCCAAGGACATGAGAGAATGCCTGTCGGGATGAGTCTTAGGAAGTGAGTGGGCCTGACAGACTTTCCAGGCAGCACAGCTTGGTAGGTAAGGTTGGGCCCTGAGCAGACAGGACTAGCCAGTGGTGGGTTGGGATCAGATGACCTTTTGTAAGTGACTTACTCCCATAAGCTGTTGGGTGTTTAACAAAGGACCGCTCGGCATGAGTGCATAGAGGTGCTGGTGGTGTTCAGACGGTGTCCTGGGAGCGGAAGACCTCATCCAGCAGTAAAGGGGAGGGGAGGGGAACGGATTTGAGGGAGCATTTGCACATGGTGGATGAGGAAGGGGAGAACTGAAGCCAGACCGGGTACTGACTTGCCTAGGGCGGGGACTCTGCCCTGGAGTCCATCTCCACACCTGGAATCCCCCAGCTGCACTTGGGGGGGCCCTGGAGCCGAACTTCGTAAGGCAGGAGCCTGCGAGAGGCCCCACGTTTGTCCGTGTACAGTACAGCCTCCCAGACCCCCCGGAGCAAGTTTATGGGCCCTTGGCCACGTGGACACATCATCACCGGAGGAGTACTGAATGGGTAGTAGACCTGCTTAGCTCGTGCTGAGCCGGAGGTCTGATTGGCAGTTACTGTAGCATTCCCTAAGCGGGCGAGGAAATTAATTCTTCCCCAACTCCGAGTCCTGGTAATTAAACTATTACTATAGCATGTAGTGAGAGAAAAATAAAAGCAGCCCCTGAGGTGATTTCTGTAAGGTTGGGCCACGTTCACTGTCCTTCAAGAGTAAGGCTTTCCAGTCCAGTTACCTTCTTTCCCTCTCTCCGTGGAGCAAGGCGTCCTGGGCAACGTGGGGAAGTTCTGACGCTTCCATGTTCCGTCTTCTCAGACTTCCCATCACTTTCGTAGATCGGAGAGCATCGTCCGGGAGATGGAGCTGCTGGGGAAGATTACTGCCCTGGACTTAAACCCGGAGAGGACAGAACTCCTCAGCTGCTCTCGTGATGACCTGCTGAAGATCATCGATCTGCGAATCAATGCCGTCAGACAGACGTTTAGGTAGCTGAAGACGTGCGGGTTTTGGTTTTATTTGACTCTTGCTGTTTTTCTGGGGGTCGCATGAACACTGGAGGCCCTGACCCTGCTCTTTCAAGCCCCGAGTGTTGTGAGCTCTCGGGGTAATGGTGCTGTTGTTGGTTTCAGCGCGCCTGGGTTCAAATGCGGCTCTGATTGGACCAGAGTTGTGTTCAGGTGAGTAGCGATGCTCCTCCTGCCCCGCCCACCCCCAGCCTGGTGCATCCCAGAGGGGCACATGTCCACTGTCTCACCCCTGAGGGAGTGTCCAGGAGTGACCTGGAAGCTCAGCACCAGGGCTCACTGTCTCCTTCCTTGCTGATGTTCCTGAGAGCTGTTGGAGAGCTTCTAGGGAAGCTACAGAAGGGCAGCCTCCTTTCCTAGTTGTCGCTCTGCCCGCCCAGCGCTTCTCCCACGGGATGCTGAATCGGGGGTGGGCGGTTGACACTTTCTGGTCTTGTTCCACAGCCCTGATGGTGGTTATGTGGCAGCGGGCTCGGCTGAGGGCTCTCTCTACATCTGGAGCGTACTCTCGGGGAAGGTGGAGAAGGTCCTTTCCAAGCAGCATGGGTAAGGGGAACCCTGATGATAGCCCCCCTGAGGTTGTGTGGAGGTTCTGTGCCTTCATCCTGGGGATCCTGCCCCTTTGGGCATGAACTGAATCAGCCCCAGGAGGACGGTGTGCGCTCGCTGGCTCCGCTGTGAGCAAGGTCAGTGGGGAGAGGCCGGGGCCGTTCGTGCTTAGTGATGCCGACAGGCTGTCCAATTAGAGCCCTTCGAGTAGTGGCTGCTGGAGAAAGGTTAGGGAAGCGTCCTGTCTCTGATTATCTAGCGCCTCCTCTCCCTCTTTCCTCTCTGCTTCTCCTTCTCCCTTTGGAGAGTCTGGTTGTAAACATAGATTTTTTCATAGACTCTTTTTCAGTCCTCCCCCAGGCTCCTGTTTTGCTTAGCTTTGCTCTCTCCACCCAAGCTCAACTGCTAGTTGGAACAGAGACGGGGCTTTCCTCCAGAACCACCTCTCCCTGCTCCCAGGGGCTGTAGCCATTTGCCCACTCCTCAGTTGGTCCCCCGAGGCTCTTGTCGGAGGGTGGGAGCTATTGCCTTAGGGTAGACTTGGTACGACCTGACTCCTTTCATTCCTAAACTGCTTCCTGAAGTACAGTGCAGGTTCCTTTGAGTTCTTGTGCTCAATCCCAAGGGCCTGCCCGTGAGGGGCAGCAGTCCTGGTGAGCAAGCCGGGCGTTGGAGAAAGCTTTGCTCCCTGAATGTCAGGGGGCCTGGCATTCAGTTCACTCAGATCTCACAGATGTTTTGACCTCTCCCTTTGAAGCTCGTCCATCAATGCAGTGGCGTGGTCCCCCTCTGGCTCCCACGTCGTCAGTGTGGACAAAGGAAGTAAAGCTGTGCTATGGTCGGAGTATTGATGGCACCCCCGAGAGCGAGAGAGAGAGAGGGGAGGAGCTGAAGCCAGCGAAGCACACGAGCCCCTGCGGTTCTGTCCTGCACGTGGTGTGTTGGGTGCAGCTTCGACCTCCAGAGACGAGCTGGAGCCGCGTGGTGCCATGACCTGCCTTTGAACAGGATTTCTGAGGATTTTAGCTGAGGTCTCTCACGGCCTGAAAGAATAACACTGAAAAAATCTGGCCCTGCAGTCACTTAGCAGAGGTTCAGGTTCTTGCCTTGCCTTGATTCGGGTGGGAAACACTACTGGCTCTGATCTTCCATACCTCAGCGAAGGGAGCGCGGGCACCTGCTGGCTTCCTCACTGGCCGGCAGGGCCAGGAACGCCCCACGCGCGCGTGCGGCTGTCGGTTCTCCCTCCGTGCTTTCTCCCGTCCTTCCAGAGTCGGTTCTGGCCCAATGCATGTCCTGTCACCTTGGGATGGTTTTCCTGGTGAACTCACTTGAATCATTGGATTAACAGAAACCCAAACAGGATCACCCCTGCCCTCAGCCCATAGGGACTGCCCTGATTTCTGAGGAGGTGACAGGACCGTGGTCCTCCCTGCTGGTCTCTTGTCATTATTACGAGGCTCTTACTCTGATCTCATCTGATTACTGTTGGAATTTCCTTAGATCTCCTAAACCGTTCTTAGAAAGCAGCTGTTGTTCAAAGCTTCGGGCTTCCTTTCTCCCTAACGATGCTACACACCTATTTCTTGGTCGAGAAGTAAATCTCAGTTTGGTTACAAAATACTTTTTGGAGATAGGAGAGGAAGTGCAGAAACCTTGCAGGTAAGCGGGCATGCTGCAGGAGTAGAGTGGCTCCCTGCGGCCATCTCTAGACTCCCCGAAAGTGGGCTGGGCGCACGCCACCTTTTTCCCCCGTGTGCCTCGGTGACAGTCACTGGTGACAAGGGATTGGAAGCCTCGAATGTATTAGCCTGGAGCCAGCGGTTCCGGGTCACTGCCCCTCTGCCAAGCCTACGTGCAATACCCCCTTGGTGCTTTAGTTCGAGAAGCCCATTCCAAGAAGCATGGGAACGTCATCTTTTAAGTTTCAGGAGTTCTGATTGAGGCCAGGGAAAAACTGGCTTGTGGCTTTTTTTTTTTTTTTTTTTAACATTTATCTTTACCGTTTTACCTGTGTATCATTCTAGTTCCTGAGTGACTGAAACACCAATACTTTCATCACTTTTTAATTGCACTTTATTTTTTTCCTTCCACACTTGTTCTCTGGACAGCTGTGGGTATGAGTGCTGGAGCTGGGTGAGGAGGGGCGCCGTGTCCCCCCCCCCCTGGTTCCCCGGCCCTCCCCCCACCCCCCTTCCAGCTTCCTGCTCCAAGAGCTCAAGGGGAGGTGGAATTCACAGACCAGGGCGCATCTTTTATTTATTTAATTATGTTGCCCAACAGAACTTGATTGTAAATTAAAAAGAAATCTGTTATATACTTTTCAAAGTCTGTCTCTTGGTGGTTATTGTATGGTCCTCTGTCCTTCAGAGAAAAAGCTGTTTCTTTTATCTGTTTTCGTGGTATTCATTCATTTGTAAATCACAACTGTTATTTTCCTGGGGTCTCTCCTCATCGGTCATCATTTAAGCCGCCGCCATCACCGCCTGTAAAGCATTCCAGTTTCACACTGCGTGTAGGTCTTAACACAGCAGAGGGCCTCGTGGATCTCCGCGTCTGTCCTGTGAGCGCCCAGCGAACTCCCGAGACTCCTACTGTCCGCTCCACGCCGCAGCCATTGTGAGCGCCCGGTTCCCCACTGGGGACTTTTGTCTGTAGGACTGATGATGAGCCATACCTGTCTCCTGCTGGTCTCCGGCCTCTTTGCTGAAGGCGCATGAATTATTGTGCTAGGACAAATCCTGATCTCCCAGAGGCTCCCCCACCTCTGCCGCCCAAGACCTCTGTCCCGTTCCCATCCCCCCCCCTTTTTAAGATTTTATTTATTTGACAGCAAGAGCGGGAACACAAGCAGGGGGAGTGGGAGAGGGAGAAGCAGGCCTTCCGCCAGGCAGGGAGCCCGATACGGGGCTCGATCCCAGGACCCTGGGATCATGACCCGAGCCAAAAGCAGACGCTTAACGATTGAGCCACTCAGGCGCCCTTGTCCCGTTCCCTTGATGACTGTTTTACCAAGGGGCCAGCCAAACATCCGCTTAGCCCAGCACCTGGGGGCAGGATTCTGCTGTGATCGGAAGTCTCAGAGGCAGCCGGCTGTCTCCAAAAAGCTGAAGGAGCTCTTTACAGTCACTTTCAAGAAGGTAAGTCATTCTTAAAAGAAGCGTAAAGTAAGCGTTGCAGTAACCTCCAATTACCCTCTTTTCTTTGAACTTGGAGGGAAGCTTGGCTGCTCTCTACTTTGAACAAAGAGAGGTTTCGGTTTGAGATCCATCTGCACCGTGAAGTTCTCTTCAGGTCACCTGACTGCCAAGGCTGAGCTGTTCAGCGTGTGGGCTCACACGGCAGTGGAATATAGGACTTCAATCTGACTCTCCCGGTCCGCCCACCCCCCCCCCCCCCCCATCTGTCAGCTCATCTGGGACCCTCTCTGCTGCTGCGGGCTCTGCTGGTGAGGGTGGGAGGTGGGCAGAAGAGTTTCTCCATTTCCCAGATGAATCCTGGGCGGAGGGAGCTGCTTGCTCCCCGGTAAGTGGTGTCGGCTTTGACCCAGATGTTAACATATCTCAGAAGTTGAGAATTTTTAAACATTTTTTAAATGAACTTACATTCCCTAGGTCATTTTCCAAAATAGTGTGATAAATCAAGCTCAGTGCCTTATTCTTAAAGCATATACCACATATACAGTAGCCTTTGTCCTGTAAATCTTGCAAAGCCCCTCTGCATCTTTCCCACCGTGGCCCACGGGAGATTTTGTATGGATACTGGGGTAAGTGGAGGAAGCTGTTCAGCCGGGAGGGGCCGGCCTGACCCAAGGGCGGCTTGGTTGGGAAGTTGCCGATCCCTTGAGTGGACCAAGGTGTGCAGAGCTACCTGTGTCTTCGCGTGGGACAGCACAACTCTGCTCTTAGAGAACTGGACATTTTGAAATGTGCACTTGAAACTCCTCACCCGTGTGGGCACCAGGAAAGAGCAGCCGTGATGAAATTCCCCTCACAAGACTGCTGGACTGCGGAAACCACGGACATTTCTGGGTTCCTGCGAGGCCTTGGATCGTAATCAGGAGCCTGTGGCTCTCAATTTCTGTGACCTGTGAAATGTATCTCATGTCACAGCGGGGGAGTCGCAAAGCCTAGCGAGAAGCTGTTCTAGCGTCTTGAGCCCTAGTGGGCGCCCCTGCCTCCAATCCGCCTGCCCCTCCGGGCCTGCAGGGGGAGGCGGACACCAGACGGCCTCAGGCTGGCCACACTGACGCCTTTACTCCAATACATCTTTTCTCTTGTGCCCTACGATAATGCCCACTCACCAGAAAGCCCACGTTTTCAAGGCAATGATAAACTTTGGAAATCTTGAATAAAGTGAAATGTACCCATTTATATAGGTTCTGGAAGAAAACCAAGGAGAAGTGGTAAAATCCAGTAAGATTCATCTCCGGTCAAGGAGATTATTCTTAACCTGCTTCACCTCCGTGAAGTTAGATTTGTGTACCTCGGGGAGCTCTGGCTTGCATAGCACAGCCCTCCTGGTTTCCCTCTGTGCCTCCCAGCCCCTGCCTTCATTCCAGATACTTCTTCCATCCTCTGTGTGCTCCGGCCATGCTGTAGTCTTCCCACAGCCCCACTGTCCTTGGTGACCTTTCCCCGGGGCTGCACAGCCCTGTCTAACCCTGGCTGACAGGCACGGTGAGCACACGCACGTCCGGTGGCTCCAGAACCCAGAGGAAACTGCTGTGCAAGGAGCCCTGGTGCATCTACCTGCCACTCGGCGACTCTGCCCGAGTGACCACAAACCTAAAGCATGTCACAGACGACCGAGGACACGGTGCCATAGTTAGCCTCGTAGGGTTAACAAGAACTCCATGTCATCAACTATCCGGTCCATACTCAAATGTTCCCAATTGTTTTCAACAATGGGTTTTCTACGATGGGCTTGTTTGGATCAGGATCCAGCATAACGGACTACCTTAAAATGTAATGGCTTGAAATAACTATTACCCTCCCGAGCCCGTGAGTGGGGCCGGGCTGGCCCTGTTGGGGATGGCTGGGAGAGGGTGGCCCCACTCACGTCTGGCAGGCAGCTAGGAGAAAATGACGCAGCAAGAATGCACGCGTCGATGTGCGAGCACTTGTCACTCCGCCCGGGTGGCCTTCGTCACATCCCATTGGCCAGAGGGGACGGCACAAGCAGCCCTGCCTGAGGGGCGCCACCGGCAGCAAGGGGATAGGAAAGGACTCAATAGGAGCCATTGTGGCAATTGTCCACAGTAAAGGCTCCGTTCGGTTCTCTTCTTGGGTCTTTTATATTCTAGAGCGATAGCTATTGCTGATTTCTTTTTCTGCCCCACACTGGATCTGGTTGACTTTCCCCATAGGAGCAGTACGTGTGTCCCATGTGAGAACAGTGGCCCTGCACATGGCCATGTCCCAGGCTTCCGTGGCTCTGCCCCGACCCTAGATGTGGAGAGGAGAGCCGGTGACTCGGGCTCTGGGCTTCATTTTCCCGGAGAAAGAGCCTTAGGAGACGGTGCAGATAGTTATGCTTGTGAGCCAGGCTGGGCAGCCTGCAGGCTGGACACAGTCTGCTTTCTGTCTAGGAAGCCCTCAGGGCCGGCCGCTCCCTGCCCTACATGCCCAGGTGGTTCTGAGAACCTGGACGTCAGTTCTCAGGACCCCCTTGTGGTGCTCGGCACCGTGGGCACTCAGGTTTTTCTCTAGTAGGACTGAATCAGCAAAAAGCAAACCAGGCAGCCCCAAAAGGGTGGGTCATAACCAGCCAAGGGGATGAGTGAGGAGGAGGAAGGGAGAGTAGTTAAAAATCTAAGAATAAACCACAGAGGAAGCGGAAGTGTGTAGAAACTGTTCTGTGCGTGTATGTGTAGGTTTCGGGTCACAGTGTAAAAAGTGTATTTCTTTTTTACTGGTTTTAAATTTATTGAAATTCACATAAAACTAACCATCTTAAAGTATATTCACAGTGTTCAACCACCACCTCTGTCTAGTTCCAGCAAAAGACATTTTTGAAACTGGATCAGTGTCCATTTTTTTGAAACTTATATTTCTTGTTTTTTGTGGGTTTTTTTAAAGTATTTATTTGACAGAGACACAGCGAGAGAGGGAACACAAGCCGGGGGAGTGGGGGAGGGAGAAGCAGGCTTCCTGCTGAGCAGGGAGCCCGATGCGGGGCTCGATCCCAGGACCCCGGGGATCATGACCTGAGCCGAAGGCAGACGCTCAACGACTGAGCCACCCAGGCATCCCTGAAACTTTCTTGGTCTATAGCAAGCAGCTGATCTACCTGAAGAAAAGCATGGACCCTTGTCTTAGCTCCGGCTGCTATCACAAAAAAACCACAGACCGGGCAGCTCCGACAATAGATATTTCTTTCTCCCGCTTCTGGAAACTGGAAGTCTGAGGTCAAGGCGCCAACAAGGTAGGTTCCATCCCGAGGCCTTAGCTCGTTGCTGCTGTGTTCACCTGACTTCCGAGTGCACTTGCAGAGTAGAGAGTGGGTGTCTCTTACAAGGACACTAATCGTATCAGATCAAGGCCCCGTCCTGGGACCTCATCCAACCCTGATCACATCCCAGTACCCCATCACACCAGGGGCTTAGGGCTGCTTCCACGTGTAGATTTGCGGGGAGGGGTGCACAAACACTCAATTCCTCCGAGAGGCCTCTCCCTAAGTGTGCACAGCTTCAGGGGTGAGCTGCTCAATTTGTGCTCGGCCACAAAATCTTGAAGCAGCTTCACTAGAAGCCCCTCTAGTGTTGGGATCCACGTGGCACGACAAGGATGAAGAAGCACCGAGGCGCACGTCAGCCTCTCGTGGGAGAGGCCCAGGGGAGGTGTTCGTCAGGATCCTCCCGCCCCGCTCTGCACGGGACTCTCCTTTTAAGGGACCCCTCTGGGGGCGCCTGGGTGGCTCAGGTCGTGATCCCAGGGTCCTGGGATCGAGCCCCGCATCAGGCTCCCTGCTCGGCGGGAAGCCTGCTTCTCCCTCTCCCACTCCCCGTTTGTGTTCCCCCTCTCGCTGTCTGTCTCTATGTCAGATAAATAAAATCTTTAAAAAAAAAAAGACTCCTCTGCACAGTTGAGGCATCTCCCCAACCCTGGGAGACAGGGCAGGTCACGGGCTCGCCTTCTACAGAGGCAGAAGAGGAAATAGCAGTGAGCCCAGCTACTTGCCCATGGTCTCAGGTGACTCATCAGGGGCCACAGAACCTTGGACTCCAGCCTCGGGCTGTTTGTCCAACGGGGAAACCTGGAGCACCAAGAGCCATTCTCAGCACGATGCCTCAAGATGGACCTTCGAAATCTGCCCAA